CCTAAATAAATACAAAAGATGTATTATCATCTGATGACCTAGATTAATAAATGAAGAAGCTTTGATTTTATTTTATTTTATAAAAAGTTGATTATTATCTTAAAGAAAAAAAGCAACTTTTAAACATACACTATACTTAAAAGAGTAGGATAATCAAGTGAGAATATCTTGAGAAAGATAAAATCAGAGTGACTATTAAAAAAATAAATTAAACAATATTACTGATTAATTTTTAATTATTTATTCTTGATATACATAAGATAGGATTTCTAGTGCGTTGTTATCTCTCAAAAAAAGGAGGTCGAAGAATTAGTTCATTATTTTGGTATTCCTCATAAGATATCAAAAATTTAATGAGGCATCTTTCATAAATTCTCAATCATAAATAAGATAAAATTGGAACATATTTCCTTATATTTAGGAACTTCCATAATATTTTTTAAAGTCCTCTAGGTTTTTCTGTTTGAATTTTTATTCACTATATAATACAAAACATATTTAAAAAATTCATAATTTTTATATAATATTCATGCAATAAATATATGCAAATAAAATAAATTAAAATGATATTATTAATTTATTATCTCATTTAATATTAACTATAATTTTTCAATTAGATTTGAATTTGATGTTACTTATTTTTAGAAATTTCATTTTTTTATTCTTAATAATGAAGTTTTGATAAATTGAGATTAAACCATTTTATTTAGATTCTCTTATTTAACCATTTGATTTTAAAGATAGATAACAACAATAGTAACTATTTTGATATTTTTAAAGTTATTCAGTTTCCTCATTGCGAATAGTTTAAAGTAATTTAATTATGAATCAGAAATATTATCTATTTCTAATTTTAATAATTAAATTAAATAACTTTAAAAAATCTGTCTGAATCTTTTAGAAATTTGTCAAATTTTATTTATATTAATTAATATTTGGACCCAAAAGGATTCTACTATAAAAACAACAACTTGCTACAACGAAACCTTACAACCTATCAAAAATAAACCAGGATGTTATAAAATACAAATTAATTCATAATAAATCTGATTCTTAATAAATTCTTGATTATAATATCCTCATAATGATAAAATGCTTGAACTTTATCTTTTGCCTCTTCATCCCTTTTTCAATTTCAAAAACACTTGTATTTTGAGTAGTGCTATGCTGTAAATTTCAATAAATTACGGTTTTGGTTAAGTAGCTAAACATATATTCAAAAGTACATGATATTCAATTTTATTAAGTCAAAGAAAATGGAAATATACTAAAGTAATTTATTCTCTTCTCCTAATTGATTGTAATTTATTTGTATCAAATAAATATTTTACTTTTTCATCTATGTAATCTACATAATCCATTAAGTTGAGCATAACCAAATGCAATTCTTTAAATATTATCTGCATCTAAAAATACACTATTATGTTATTGCTAATAGATAGGATGAAAATCAAAAAGTTCAAATAAAACAAATTTATCAATAATTCTTGATTTCATAATGCTCTACTGTTAGTTACTATACTTACGTTACAGAAATTAGTTGAAAAAGCAGTTAGCAACTCTAATTCACATATTGCATTCATAAACTCTCCTGGTTAATTCTCTTCATTTTTTGGTTTATATAATTAATATCCACTTTTAATATGATCTAGCTTTATCTTAAGCAAATTTGTTACGTAATTCATTAACTTAGTCTTTCGTTAATTTTGGTAATTCAGGTATTATAAGTGGTTAATACATACATTCTTATAAAAGGATATTAGATATTTTTATCCATCTTCAATTATTTAAACTGTCTAAATTATAAATTAAATATCGTTAAGTGATCAAAATTTAATAATCTTTTATTCAATCTCCCAAATAAAAACAATTATAAATAATATCATCGTCATTAAATTTGTATATCTCATCTCACTATCATGATTTGATGCTTGTTACAATTTCTTTCATCTTTAATAATTAAACAATTACTTCTTTCTATTTTTCATCTTAAATTTTATTTTATTCCAAATCTGAATTAGCAAAATCAACTTTCTTCTCTACTTATTCTGATGCTTATTAATATCTATTAAATAACATTTCTCCTTTCCCAACTCTTATTTATTATAATGCTATCAAATTATTATTCACAATATCTACTTGGTAAATATCTAGTCAGATTTGAACGCGATATTCTTATAAATATAATATTGAATACTCTGATATTTATTTTAAAATAAACTAAACCTTAACTTTTATATTTTTTTAACAATTTTATTTCAAATTTGTCTATCTATAAATTATTTCTATTTATTTTATTAACATTTTTTTGTCTTAATTTTCATTCTTATTATCTTTACTACTTAAATACTTAAAAAATATTATTCAATGTTGTATTACTTTTTAATATTGGATGAATCTAAGGAAAAATGCTCTCTTCATTTTTGAATGTATGAGTAATATAAAATTATTTATTTATTTATTTTTTTTAAATTAAAAAAATATGAAAACCCTAAAATTTTCAAAATTGTAGTCCCCTTTAAGCTTTACTCAAATCCCTTTTAACTTTTCTCAATTATGTTCAGAAATGTTAAAGATATGTCAGAATTTGAATATAAATTTCTTGTAAAAACATTCTAAATATTTACGGCTAAATTCATACTAAAATTCATTAGTGGATTTAATATTGATTTTTTAATCATCTCGCATAAGGTATTTAAAAAATAATATACTAAACTTTATTTTTAACTTAACAAGAATAATATATGAAGAGAAAGGTTCAAGAAATTTAAAATTTTATTTAAAATAAATTATATATAAATTGTTGCGTTTGCATTCTAAATTTACTTTATATTTGATTAAAAATATTATATTTAAATTAATTTTTTTATAAAATGGGAAACTAAAATGCTAGAATAGATGATAGCAATCCTTAACCCAATTTTACTATCCAACATAATCCATATGCTATACAGTAAAATACAATAAATTCTAATACAAATCAAATCCTAAGTCCTGAAGAATTTTAATAATAGAATATTTAAATTGCTAATTAATAATAATCTCCAGATTTATAAGCACAACTAATTTAATAAGGAATTCCTATTGTGTAAACGTTTGAGATTGCATAAATACCTTAACAGTTAATTTCAAATTAACTTAAAGATTAACCATTCAAAATATAAAAACAAGAAATTCTTAAGGCACTTATCATGTATCTAGTAATATAAGTTATTTCATTTATATTATTTTTTTGGTTATATATGAAATTTTCGAAATAAACACAATCTGTTTAAATAAACCTTCCAGATTGGTGGACTATTATAATTGTACATCTTTTAGTAATTATATCAGGAAAATTTTAATTTTTTTAAAAAGTAATCATCATTATATAATATAGAATTCGATTGCAATAATCAGAACTTTAATCATATTAATGAATTTATGTTTATTTAATGCAAAAGCCTTTTTTTTTAACTAATAATATAGTAGTTTTAATGAAAATCAACAAATTGAGGCTCTTTAATTACTTATAGTAATCTTAATAACGATATTGTATATTAATTCTGAATAGATAGAGATCAGTTTAAAAAGTAATAATATTTAAAAAATAATTTAGAGTATTATAAAATTTTACTTCCTTGTTTATTGATAGGATTTGTAACTATATTCTTTAATATTTTTCTGATTATAATTGTGTTCTTCAGTGGAACTATTTTATTAATTGTGCTTAGATAATTGATGAATGGGAGAGTATATTTTGAATTTATTATATAGTTTCAATTACAAAAAGGTTAGACTTTTGGGATATGTAATGCAATTTTTTTAGGATTATTAGTTCCATGCAATATATGTTGATACATTTAATTATCATTTTTAATAAATTATAATAAATTATTATTAAATATTATATACTTATGTATTTATTTTATTTCAATCTATAAATTTGACTAAATTACATGTTTCATCAACTTCTGATAGATTTTGATCTTCTATTTTATTTTCTTCACTTTTTTTTTCTTCCCTTAGATTTTATTTAGTAGATTCATCCTCTTTTTGAATTTCAATTTCTCTTTTTAATAGCACTTAGGAATTTTCATTGAGGTGCTCTGAATTTGGATCAATCAAATTTATTTATTGTGGACCTTTTTAATTATATAATTATTAATCATCAAAATCTTGAATAATTATATCTTAAGGTGGCAAATATCTTTTTTCAAATTCTTCTTTTTTAAATTTAATTCCAGAATTAAGTTTAAATAATTCTAAATTGGATTACTTTTTATTCCATTTTAAAAATATATCACCATCTGGAGATATTGCTCCCATTTCTCCTTCTATTTCATTTTCTTTATAAAATTTTCCATCTGTTCTTTCTTTTAGAAATACTATTTTTTTATTATGTTTTACTACAAGTAATTTTAATTTTTGAATAAATACAATAGGAAAGCTACATGTTAAATCAGTATTTAGATCTTCAAATTTAACTTGTTTAATTTTGCTTTTTTTGAAATCATTTTTTCTAGAAACATTTTCATAAAAAGATAATTCTCTTGAAGAATTTTCTTAAATAACAATATCATTTTCATTAATGAAACAACATCTATAAATATGATTTAACATTTTTATTCTATTATTCATATTCCAAAAATCTTTTTATTTTTGCCATACAAAAACTTATTTATCAAAACTACATGATAAGAACTATTTTAAATTCGTTGTAAACATATAACTTAATTAATAAGCTGTATTATCATGAGAAGGATTTAATTAATATTTGTTTAAATCTTAATTAAGGTTAATTTTCTTAATTTCTTGTCCTTTATTTTAATTTAAAATTTCTTCAATATCTTCATTTGATATACGATAAATATCATGACCTGAAGTTGAAATAATGTCTTCATTATTAGTAGTAAAAATAATACTATTAATTGCATCTTAATGAATTACTTATGCTATTAATTAGTAGAAATGATTTTTATTTTTGGATTCAGTATAAATATTCATTCTTTTATCATAAGTTCCTCCTGAGATTAAATATTTTTTATCTTCACTAAAAAGAATACAAGAAATATAATTTTCATGATCTTTAAAGGTTTATAATAGATTGAAATTCTAGTTATCTTATTACTTTATATATTAATAAGTTTAAAGTATATTTCCTAACCCTAAAGAGACTATTTAACCATCTTTATCTGGACTGAAAGCTATAGCATTACATATTTTTGAAGGAGAGACTTTAAATTCTGATGAAAGTTCGTATTTTGCTAAATCGTTTTAAAGTTATTCAAAGCATTTTTTCATGATTTAAGAATAATGATGCTACAAACCAAAGAGAGTTTTCATGACTTTAATAACTTCAAAATATTTAGGCTTTAAATTAAACTTACAAGTTGAGTCGTATATCAAATCAGATGTTTATTGCAAATTGCTCATACTTTTTTATTATGGATCATAATTAATAATAGGATTGTAAAATTGATGAATAGAATCAAATATAATATGAAGTTCCAATCGAATTCTTTTGATAGTAGAATTTATTTCTAATTAATAATTATCTAAGAGTTTTTTTAAAGGATCAGAAAATTATTAAAAATCAGCAATCACACTCTCTTATTCTTTTTGTATTTTTATTTTTTACTCTTAACAATGTGAATCAAATCTGTTAATAGCAATTAGAGGAACACCTTTTTCAACTTCTTCACAATTTTTACATTTAAGTCTTGAACTTGATTTTTTTGGTGAAGTTTCAATAAACATAATAGGTGAGAAATGTAATTGACATTAGAGTTCATCCATTATAAGATAATTTTAATAATATATTAATCAGATTAATCTTCCGACTTAAATACCACCTAATTAGATTCACTTAATATTTTATCTAATCCTTTTTCTCTTCCCCATCCTTCATTCCCTAAGTTAACACAATCAACCAATATATTAAATTATTTTAAAAGTCTCATCTAATTATTTTAACAGCATGTCCTCCAGTAATATATTTTAATTTACACATAGATTAAAATGTAAAGCAATCTTCATATGCTGTAAATGAAGCCTGTAATATATAATACTTAGCCATAATTTCATTTTAAATTTATTCAACTTAGATGATATTCAATATTAATCAACAGATCTTTTATTTATCTGAATCATTATTTCTTCCTCATTAACTTATACATGATTCAATACATACAGATTTTTGGATATGAATCACCATTTAAACCATTATTAACACATAATAAGAAACATGAACGAAATGTATATAATCTACATCATTAATTATTATCAATATAAAAATGATCTTATTAATAATCCTGTATTTATTAAATACTTCTATGTTCCACAATGGTAATCCATCATTTAATCTCATACAATATGTTAATAAATCTTCTGTTGATATTCTTGTCTATTGTTGTTTTATTAACATAATCTATCACTCATAGCTTGTGCTGTTCAATATGAGCCATATGTTGATTAATCTAACTTATCTCTTTACTCTTGATTCTAAATTAGATCATTATTATTGTCATTATTATTATTCAATCAAATCATAACTATTTTGATTATTTTTACAAATTTATAAGTTCTTCCTTCTTATTTTTATTACACTTTCATAATCTTAGGTTCATCTAATAATGTTCACATTTAAATTTTCAATGTTACTTCATTAAAGTATTCCTATCATTCATTATCTCAAGTATCCAATTGATTATTGAGTATTTAAAAAATCTAAAATGTTTAACATTAGAATCTTAAACCCAACGCTGACTTAATTAATATAATGATTAATATTATTACTATTTTTTTTCTTATTATCTCTTTTCATTTATTCAATAAATCAAAATTCATTTTAATAAACCCTTTCCTACTTAATAGACTGATTTAAGATATAAAATTTATTAAGAGTCTTGAGTAAGTAGTGAAAACGAAGAATTAAAATCTGCATTTCAAATTTAGAAAAGTATTTTAACATAAATATCAAAGTAGGAGAGAATACAGTAAAATCATGAAGATAGTGAGAGGATGAAATCAAAAACATATAACGCTAATTATTTAAAAAGAGAGTTTATTTATTGATTAAATAATTTGATCTTGACAAGTAAACCATATGAAGATTATAATGTTTATATAATTGAAATAATTTTCAACCAATTTATATGATAAAACATAATTTTTAATTTACTTCAATTTATTTATTATATAATATTTAAACAAATATTTTTAAGAAAATGAAGAAAAGCATCGTATGATTTATTAAAAATCTGCAAAAAAAGAATAGAAACCTTTTCTAAGAAACAACATTTCTAAAATAGCAATTTTTTAATAAATTTTTTTGGAGTAAAAAGATGAATATTCAATTATGAAATTTTAATACAAATTGAAGTTTAATAAATAGAAAAAGTATAAATGAATATATAATATTTAAATTAATTACTTGATTTTGAGTCTGATAAGAAAAGTAATAAACATTTTTTTAAAATCATTGCACTTTATAATTATTTTATTAAAATTAAAGCTTAGAGTATTCATAAAGTTTGTTTAAAAGGGAATAATTTGTCTTAGAGTGAAAAAGGATAAGAAGAATTAAATTTAAAATTAGATTAAATTACAGTTCAAGAGATCCATAATTAGGAAGATTAAGGGAAGTAAGAGATTTAACTATAGGAGTATTATAATTATTAAATAAGAGTGAAAATAATGTTATAAATGGATCTGATGTGATGAAGGTTAAAAATTAAATAAAGTAGGTATAGAATTTTATTTGAGGTTAATGGAGTATATTCAGATATAAAAATAGTATAATAGATTCTTTAATTGAAGACATAACAAACTCCTATGATATGATAATAACATATTCTTACTTACACTATATAGTATAGCTGTTCTGATTAGTGAGAAATATAAGTAGTTCATAAAGAGTCAAAGTAAAGTAGAAGAGATTGATTGTTAAATAATATAGGAATCTGGATTTGGATGAGAACTAAAAAGGAATATGAAATGATTATATCAAAAACAGTTAATTTGAAACATTTTTTATTGTGGATATTTTTTGAACTTAATTTTATAATAAAAGTGGAAAAGATCCATAAAAGTAAGTCATATTATAGAAGAGAAAAAAAAAGAATCGATAATCTATTCCATTATTAGCGATGGAGTAAGTATCAATTTATTTTTAATTTATATCAAATCTACTAATATTGATTATTCGATTAAGATAATTAAAATACATATGATGTGATTTGAATACTAAGTTACTTAAAATTATTTCTATATCTCTACATTTCCTTAAATCAGTCAATTTAAAAAGTAACAATTTAAAACATGAACAATTAGTTTATATCTGAAAAATTAAATCAATAAAGTTTTCTATTTTATTAAAGACTTAAGAAATCATAAATATTTTAATATAATTTAAAAACGGAAAGAAGTTCCTAATTTATAATTTTTTATAATATAAAGGAAAGTACATATAGAAAATAAAAATATGATAACAATCAGTGAGAAATGAAAGTTATTTAGAATAGTCGTTAATTTGAATGAAAAAAGAAAGTCTAAATTAATCCATTTGAAAGTGAAATTATTTATATTTATAATGTATTTGGTTTTTAAGAATATGAATTACTGATCAAAATGGAAATAGACTTATAGATTGTTGAGTTTCATTTGAGTTAAATTGCAAAATGGAAGGTTTTTTTAAAAAGTTTTATTATAATGGCATCTTAAATTTAATAATTTAATATATAAATAAATTTAAAAACCGTAAAAATGGGAGGGTGTTGTACTAAAAAGGCTAATAGAGAGAGTGGAATTCAATAATAGATAGAGAAAACTATTATTGAATAATAGAAACTTAGAGAAGAGGAAGAAGAAATACAATATAATTAGGGAAATAAAGACTATTCAACAAAGCGATCAATTCATATTGTTTAAACTACTATGTATACAAATTAAGAAAGATAAGATGATGGAATGATTGAGATAATCTAAGAGGAAGAAAAGATAGAATAAAAACCTGTTAAAAAAAGTAAGTCAAAATAAACAAAAGACGATATCAATTATTATAAAAAATATGAACATGTATTAAGTGTGAAGGCAATAATAGTTGAATTAGTTAAAAATGAAGTAAGTCACTATTATTCATTAATAATCAGAGTAAATTATAAGGATTATATTGGAGAAGCTAAAATGAATGGAATATTAATTACTTAAAGCGACTTTCATTACTACACTATTTAACCTGAAAAATTCAGTGAAGCTAATTAATACTCAAGGTTCTCTACATTCTTTTCTAATGATAATTATTTTAATGCTGACAAAGAGAGTGTTAATAATTTTAATGCTTTTGATAAACTCTTGCCTGTAGATAGAATAGTTAGAATTAAATAAGTAGAAAAGAAAGTTCGTAGAAAACAGACTATTTTTGCAGAAAAAGAATAAACTTCTCCAGTAAAGAATAAATTAGAATTCTTTGATTCAAGATAATAAGAAATGCTTGAAGTAATTACTATTGTTGATGTTGAAGAATAAGAGAGATTCCAATGTCTATTATTTCATATACTTTTATAGTAACAATTCCCAGAACTTAATTAAAACTTAGTTTTTATTTAAAATGCTACATTTTTATTTGATAGACCACCTTCATTAGATGCCCCAAATATTTATAGGATTGCATTATTCTATGATAGATTGGATTATTCATTAAAAGATTTGTAAGCAATTCTTATTAAAGAAAATAAGGAATTATCACCTCATTTGCATAAGACATTATCATTAAATCTAATTCAGATATTATATAATTGTTATTCTAAATATATATTCAGACTTAATTTTACACTATCAACTATTTTTTATAATTAACGAAGTAAATGTTTTAAATTGGAATCTTTTGGAAGATTAAAAAGTATGCTTCCTTTTCATTCTAATTAAGAAATGCTTCTAAAAACAGTAGAAGAAAAAAAGTAAGTGGCTTTTAAAAAGGCATTGAAAAGAGATTTATTTGCATTATGTGATTTGATAATATATTTCAAAAGAATAGGAGAGAATAATTTAAGATCTATTTAAACTAAGAGGAAAAAGTTCTTAAAGGCAATAGATGGATAAAAAGAAAATAATGTAAATGAATTAGAAGATAATTATCTTCATATAGCTGAAGAACGTTTTAGTCATAATTCAGATAAGTATTTATTTGAATTTATAAAAATGGTTATCTTTACAACTAAAGTAGATTCAACTGAAACGATTATGCAAAATCTTTAATCAATAATTGAAAGTTTATAAAAATAAATAAATACGTATGAAAATAAGGTGGAAAACTAGAGAGAAGAAAATGTAGAAAAAGAATAAAATAATGAAAGTCCTCAAAAAAATGAGAATGTGGAAGTAATTAATTTAAATGAACTCAATTTTAGTTAATCTGAAATTTCTAATGAAGATAACAATAAATCAAATTATTTGGAATATTTTGATTTTGATATCAAGAAGGAATTTCCTAATATTGCACAGAATAAAGATAAATTAAAGGAATCAGAATTAATTTATAAAGATATGCTATATCAATCACTTTTTTATTATAATGAATTATATTATTAGGATTTGAAATAACAATTAAATATATAGAGTCTATCAAAATTACAATAAGCTTAGATGATTGTTTTAAATGCTTATAGTAAGATAAAGGAAATGAAAGAAGAATCATGGGAAGTTAAATATTAAGAAATATCTTAACTTGTTGAAGAGGCTATTCCAATAATGAACAGTATTAATGAAGATAGTTATGATAACTTTCACATTTCAATGTTGTTTTAAATTTTATCATTATCATAAAGGAAGCCTTTGGTTATTTTAAACTAATTATAAAGATGTTTTACAAAGTAAATTGAATTAAAGTAGAAATAAACAAATAGATTAAGAGGAAAGAATATTGCAAAAGGATTAATTGAATAAAAGAAGTATGTAATGATATAAACAATGTATGCTCAATCATATTTGAATACTAATCATTATTTTGAAGCAATCACAAAAATATAGAAAATAATTGGTTTTTAATTAAAGAATTTTCATACTCCTTCATTAATTTATGGATATTCATTAATGATTAGTGGTGAGATTGCAAGATTAAGTTCATAACCAATTTCTGCAATGCTCAATTTAGAAATGAGTTTAACTATTTATAATTAGTTTTTTCCAGAATCTATTATACAATAAATTTAACCAGAAGAATAATTTAATTTATAGAGAATAAAAAGAGAAGGTGATTAATAGGAGAATTAAACATAATTAAAGCAAATTAAATTTGATAATCTTGCTACTAGTAATTTAGCAAAAGTAGAATTTCTACTTGGCATGAGTTATTTTGATTCTCATGATTAAGAAAATGCTTTAAAAAGTTTAAGAAGAGCATAAAAATTAATGATGAGATCATTTGGTATTTTTGCAGATGAAGTTATAGCCCTAGTTTTATATTAACTTAATATCTATGTATTATAAGATGATGTAGGTGCAGTTATCAAAATTGCTATGAAATATGCTACAGAAATGAATAAATAATATAAATAAGGTAAATAATTTAAAAGAAAATGTATTGCTAAATTGTAATTTATTATTGGATGTATTTTTTAATTTTGTGGATCTTATTTAAGTGCTTTAAGATATATTGAAAGATCAAATAGAACATTATCAAATGCAAAACTTAATAATTTTATTATTTAAGCACATTATTAAGCCAAAAAGATTACTATTATTCAATAAATTAAACGAGCATTTCTTAGAATTAAAAGTAAACAATAATTAAGAGGATAATTGGATTTGAATCAATTTTAATCTCTTAATGAACTTTTAGGATCTGCATTTTAAAATTCATTTTTTTGTTAACCAATTAAATATCATGCTACTATATTATTTAAAAAATATTGTAGATACATTTTATAAATACAAGGTTTAATTAGAATAGGGGAAAATGAAAAAGTAATTCATCATATCAATGAACTATTAAAATCTACATCAAAATTAAAGAAAGATGAACTTTATGCATATCTTAAAGATAAATTGGTTTTAATTACTTTTGAATCTACTTCAATAAAGTCATAAATTTAAGATCTTTAGAGGTTAATTGAAATACATGATAGATATTTACAATTTCCAATCAAATAAAATTATTAATTGAAGGCTTATATTATTTTAATATGTTTATTTGCAAAAATAGGGGATCATTAAAAATTTAATTAAACATCATCTAAAATTGATGATTTTATTTAAGATATTCATTAATTGTTGAATTGGTAAGTATCAGTTCCAAATGATATTAATATTAATTTTGGCAAATTCGAAAGATTAAAGAATCGTAACAAAATTAATATTTTGTTTTAAATTCATTAAATCATGGAATTAGTACAATATTTTTATAATGTAAGAAAAAAGTTATTTGATTCAATTGAAAATTAATAACAATTATAAGAAATTGTAACATAAGTTTTTAAAAAATTGACAAATCAATCATAACCAATATTTAAAAAATATTATGATAAAAAGTAAGAATGCTTATTTGGTGTCTCATCCAAAGTAGAAATTAAAAATTTAGAAAAAAAAGAAAATGAAATTCTAAAAATTAATGATAATTAAGATGTTAAATCAAACCAATAAATTGTTGATACTATACAGCCTGAATAAGTTGATGATAAAAAAAATCATAAATTAGTTTTTGACTTAAGAAGTTATGAAGAAATTGTATTATCTAGAAAACAATAGAGAAAGAAATCTCATCATTAAAAATAACAATCTTAAGATCTGTAAATTGAAAAAAAAGAAATGCCAGAAATTAAAGAAATCCAATAATAAAAACATAAAAGAAATGTTACAGAAATGACAGCAGCTACTTCAAATAAGAATAAAAAACAACAACCTTTCAAATTAAACCCTTTTTAAAATACAATTAAAAACTCTAAAAAATGACACATACATAATATATGTTATTTTTCTGATCTTTAAATATTTATTTATAGTTAGAATTATTATCATATTACTATCAATATCATTATTTATTTATGAACAACAATTTCTTTTCAATTCTTTAATAACCTTTTTAATAGAGATCTCGAAAATTGGTTAATAATATATATAATTATATATATAAACATTAAATTAACATAAAATAGTTTAATAGTAATTTTTGAACATAAAATTTATTAATGTATTTATTTCAAATTTTTTAATATAAAAAGAATAATAAAATAATATATTCTTATCTAATTTAACTTTGTCTAAATTATGAAATATATTATCCCAATATGAAAAATGTCATTATATCATATCAATCAATGCTTCTATAGAAATTTACTTTTTTATCTAATTATTAAACACAATTTATTTTTTAGAAGTTTTCTAGAAGGTCTTAAAACTGTATATTTCTTTCCTTTCTTTTTCTATTAATTGATTTAAGGACTTACTATTGCTTAAAAATATTTTAATAAATTAGTGACATTTGTAAAGTTCATATTTCGATTTGATTGACAGATTCACAATACTTTAATATAAAATCTGCAAAAAAAGTAAATCTCACTTCAAAGTGAAAATTTCATATTTATGATTGAAATTATTTTGAATTTACTCTTTAACCATAGCATTGATTGCTTTAAAAGCTTTATATTCAAAAAAGCTTAATGAAAAGTTAGTACTTTATAGTTTTTACATTGATGTTGATTAAATAAATGAAAATAAGATAAATTACTTCAACAGACTTAATCATAGTAGGAAAAATACTTAATAAAAAATGGAAACATTGTTAAAATTTTCATTAAGGTATAGATGTTAAAATATATTATGAATCATTTCGAATTTCATATTGAAAAAGTATTTTAGATGTGATTTGGCTACCTCCTATTGTTGATATTATAGTAATTGAACTTTTCTTCTTAACTATTGGAGCAAATTGACATGAATTTTAATATGTGATGTTTTATTTCTATTTGATGACATTTTTTCTATGGTAAACAATGATTGATTTTGCTGCTGGGTATTTGATATTCAGACTTTTGGCTGCCTTTAAGATTTAGGATTGAATATTTTACATGTTTTATTTTAAAACCCTTAATAAATACCAATTATATTAAAGACTTTCTTTAAAATGAAGGTACTTTTTAATATGGTCTGCAGGCAATTAAATATTATTTCATTAATTTATTAAATTTCATTTAAGATATTATCGATATTTTATTATTGCAATTTATACCTATTAGAAGAATTCATTCTTCCAAAGAACATTGATTTTATATAATATTAATGTTTCCTTCTTAACACTGCCATTCTTTATTTTTAAAGATAATTTTTATTACCAGAAAGCTGTATTTAATAAATTTTCACGATTAAAAAGCACAAAAAATAATTAGTAACGATAAAAGTTTTTCATTATTTTCAGTAATTTCCTATATATAAAAATTAATTTATAAATAATCTAAATAATTATATGTAAACTATTGTCTTTTGTATTCTACCTTCTGAATAATAAAAAATCAATAATTAAAATTGAATTAACTTATTAACAATATTATCATACTTCTAACAAAATTGTTTAATTACATGTTTGATCAATGGAATTAAATAATAGTATTAATCTAAGAAAATTCATAATCATGGAAGATTCTTTATGATTTCATTTAATTAATTACAATAATATTAGATTTTCTTCTTTTTATCTTAAACCAAAAAGTTTTGTTTAATATTGAAGCTGGAAATAATATCAATAATTTTTTTTGGATAAACCGAAATAAAAGTATGATAAATTAATAAAATAAGATTTAGCTACGTTTTAGGAATTAGAAATAGTGATATTGGCTTATTTTAATTTCATTAAGTTCTAGAAATTAAAATAAAGTAATTATTTAATTATCAATAATAAATTTTAAATAAAAATAATAGAAATTATTTAAGAAATTAATCTCATATGGTAAAAAAACAATTTAAGCAATTAAATCATAGTGAAAATTAATTTTTATAGATATAAATTATGAATAGGAAATTTCAATAGTTTAATAAGTTTTTCTAATTTATTAGCTTTTTATTGTAACACATTTAAACATGTTTAATTAAAATTCATATAAATTAATGAAAATGTTTAATAATTTTTTCTAATTTATTAACTTTTTATTGTAACACATTTAATCATGTTTAATTAAAATTCATATAAATTAATGAAAATGTATAATAATTTTTTGATTTTCCCACATACTCTTCATAAAACCCCATGCCAATTGTTTATTTCTGATTAATATATATATAAGCATTCTTCTTAAGTTTTTAAGGAGAATGAATAAATATTAAAAATTGTTAATGTTTAGAGATTGAGTCATTTTCAAGTGCTTACGTGGAATTGATAGTTTCTCTTATAATACAAATATTTAAATGCTTTTACGCAATTTTTTGATTTAAACAATTAAGAATAATAAAAAATGACTTCTAGTCAAAGCAGAGGAACTTTCTGAATCAATTTATAATAGTTGGAATTTTTATTTGTGTGAATGAAATATGTCTGAAATATATACAAGTCTAAAGAAATAAAGAATTGAAGAATAAATACACTTAAGCAAATTTCACTCATTTTTTGAAATATGAAAGGTAACTTTCAAATGTTTAAACAGAAATCGTTGATAATATAACATAGAAATGAAATCATTCTTAAATGATTGTGGGGTATTCAAATTAAAGTTGTTAAACTACATCTCCTCCTATTTTCGATACAATAGTCAATCTACACTTTTTTAATGATAGTGGGGCTACCTAACATTATTATTCAGAATTGATCGAAAGTTTAGACCTCATAACATTGTTCCTGTAGAAAATTATATATGTTTTGGCTGCTGCATATTTAATATTCAATTGCTTTGCTGCCTAAAAAAACTTATTACTTTAAAAAAATTACATTTTTTATTTTAAATCCTGAAAAGCAAACTAACCTTAATAGTTTTTTTTTCTATTCATCAGAAATCTTCTAATAGGTTCTAAATTTTTTTATATTTTTCTTCATTTATACTCTTGAAGATTTAAATAAAAATTAATTTTTAGCTATTTATGATTTAATTATGTGATATAATATCCATTAAAATCTCAATTTAAAAAAGAGAATAATTAAATTATTATATTATTATATTATTCTGATTCCAAGAATCGAAATAACATTTCTTTCGAATTTTAATTACAAATACAATTTTGAAATAATATTTATATCTATGAATGTGTTAATGATATTAAAGATGAGTTCTTAAAAATAGATGTAAATCATTGTATTTAGGAAATGAAGAATTGAATAATTAAAATAAGAGATTTAGAGTATTTTATTTAAAATTAGATGTATAATAAAGTTAAATGATTGATAAATTAATTATTTAATATATATTTAAAATTGGAGTGAATTTAACTATATTAAAAAAAGGAAGAGTAGATTTTATCAATATTTGTTATTGGTTAGAAGTATATGATAAAAATAACAATGAATAGAAGTTGAAGTGTTGTATATATGAATTTATATATTTTTTGATAATTCATAATTTATTTTTGTAAATAGCTAATCCTTTGGCTCTTAATTCTTATTCCCATTCACGTGCTTCTTTTTCATAAAGATCTTTAAGCATACAATTTCTTCTTTTTTTCAATTCTTAATAAGCATTTTCTACTTCTTTAGAATAACTAGACATATTAAAAGATTGCACGTTACACTTTATTCATGAATTTTAATTCATTGACTTTATCAAATTTAGATTTTGATTCATGCCACCATGTATTTCTACTAATAGATTTCAAGTTCTGATCATATCTTTCTGCCTCTGTATATTATTAATTTATTTTAATATTCCTTTTTATCTATTGCATTGTTTGTTATATAAATTAATAATTTAAAGTCATATTTTTTCCAACTAAATCCATAACATTTCATCTCCAATTGACCATTATAATCCCTTTTTTCTATACTATTGATTTTGAACTTCAAAGAATTCTCCTAATTTCTTGGTGCATTCTTATTCAAGATCAATTAATTTAGGAGATTTAGTGATACTAATAATAACTACAATAATAGATATAAGTGTAGGTAAAACAATAAAAATTGTACCAAGCAAAGTTAATGTTGATTTCAAATCTTCATATGAGAAACCTAATACAAATAGGATGACTCCTACTATGAATAAGACCCATGAAGATGTAACTGAAAATATATTATATTTTAAAATACCATAAAACTTTTCAGTTTCTAATGGGTCACTTTCTTCTATTCTACTCTTTTCACATCTAATTTTTTAACAAATACGATTTGCTTAAAATACAGTTTCAGATATTGAATCTTCAGATACTGGCATGTAAGGTAACTTTGCAGGTAATGAAAAACCTAATTTATCTGCATAAACAGGAACTATTAAAATGTCTTAAGACGAGTTAGGAATACGTGAACGATCAATTTTTTATTTCATTATTTTTATAAATTAACTTAATCATGTATTTCTAATTTCTATAAAGTCTATACTAATCCTTATTCTTTTATTGTTTTTCTATCTAAATGAGTTTGTGATTTTAATATGCAATCTATCTCAGCATCATAATTACATTTCACTATATTTCCAAAATACACAAACAATTAACTTATTTAATTATTAATATAAATCATTTCTATCTCAAGAGAGTATCGTTTAAAGTTTAAATCTTATGATTATTATTGAATTATAGTAATTAATTATGAAATTGATATATTCTTAGGTAATTGAAGAACAATGTTACAACTTATAGAAAAAGCCTTTCTCAAAATATCACTTAAATTAGGAGTCATGTCTTTTTCAAGATCATAAACTTCTTTTTTATGATAATTTAATCCACCCCTAAAAATTAATAAATATCTTTATATACCAAGGTGGACATAAAGTCAATATAATATTCTCATCAAACTCACATTCAAACAATAAAAAATCATTAAGTTGGGTTTAAATTGTTTTTTAGTAAATAAGTGAATTGGCTTTTAAATTTTACAATTTAATAGGATCTAGATCAATACACAAAAGATTATTGAATTTATGAGCTAATTAAATGGCTAAACCGCCAGAGCCACAGAATCCATCAATAATTTATTTTATATTGATTTTTTGATCATTGATTCTTTTATGCAATCGTTCAGCAATATATGAAGCAACTTCTTCAGGTACAACTGAGTACCATGATTCTTCATCTAAAACAATTCCTTAATCAAATTTTTTGAATAGGAAATGTCTTTTATGATAAAACTTTCTAATTTTTTTTTTCATTTAGATGGTGGGAGTAGTTTTTTCATATTGTGTATTGAATAGTTTTTTAGTGATCATGAGTGGCATAGGGAATGAACCATTAATAAGCATTAAAGTATTAAGAGGGAAATATTCAATCAATTGTTATTCCATTAATTATAATTCAACAACTTTGTTTTATTTTAGGTTATGATAATCGACCGATGAGACTCCTCTAAGATTATTGGGTTCTCCTAAACTTTTCTCTTGCAAGAGGTGGCAATTCATACCTATATTTAGGAGTGGAGAAGAATTGATCTGAACTTCTGAGCATTCTCTTATAATTTTGCATCGGAGAGTATTTTTCCTATACATTTTATCTAAATAAATGATAGATAATACAAAACATATGTATCTCTTCCAGTTCCATCACATTAATAGAATATACGTTAAGGCACTTCTGATGCTCTAGAAGCAGGACTTGGCATCATATTCATTCCTGATCTGTTTTATTGTATAGTAAGAAATCTGAATTCAGTACCGAAATTTCCACCATTATTATAGGAAATATATGTATCTCTTCCAAAACCATCATTATTGTAAGAAGTTGGATTCTTTTCAGGTTTTGAGCCCTTATTTAAGATGGGTTGTTTCATAATTTAATTATTAAGTAATAAATCAATTTATGGTTTGTCAGTTTTGAGCAATAATTTCAATAACTTTAACTGTCTATTCATCTATCTATTCTATTTAGAGTATAGCCTTAATGTTCTAATTGAAAATATATAATAAACATTATTACACTTCTGCAAATAGGACATTCTTTATTTTATTCATACCATTTTAGAGCACATTCTTAACACATTCCTCCATGACCACATGGCATATATACTACACAACTTTATCTTTAGAAACAATTAAAACATTGTTTTATTGTTGTTTCTTAAACTGCTACCTCAGTAATTGTAGATTATTTATTAGAAATCATATTATTATTCACTTCTGTTTAATGTCTTTTCATAACTAATTCATCTGGTAAGTAATAAGTGCTTGATATCTTTATCATTTATTATGGATAATCTTAAATATTGTTCTTATTATTCATATTCTCTTTAAGTGAGTAAATAAACTTCTTTTAGCTTCTTGAACTTGGAAAACTCAAAATATGCCTATCCTAATTCCTATCTTCATTTATATGACTAAAGTAATGCAAATTCAATATAAATAATGTTAATAACTCCTTATGATATATTGTATACGCCATATATATTATTGTGTAAAATACACTTATAATTATTGCCAGTAAATAATTTTTTCTTCCTTACTCTTCTTCCAAGTATATACACAAATTTATCATTGTATATGTTGGTACTCCTGCAAAACTTAAGAAAAACAAACAAATCCAAAATAATCCAATTATTTTTGTTCCCATCTACACCTTCACTCCTACATTGTTACTACTAAAATATTTATTTATTTGGGCACTCAAATTAAATAATGATATCAACTCTAAAAATATTGCTACAAACAAGAAAAGCCATATCAATACAAAAGCATATAACCAATGAATAGCTAACCAATCGATTAATTTTAGATTTATAAATGTAATTTATATTACAAAACATAACTTTGCAAACACACCCAACTATATTAATAATCTTGTTATACCAATTTAAACTATTATTTTTCAGATTTCTTTTTATGTAGTTTGACTCCGCTATAAAACATCCATATTGCATTGTAAATGCATAACATCATTCCTAAATATTGTATTTAAAATCTATGGTATTCAACAAAATAAATCAAGCAACTCTATTTTTAATTTTAACTTATTACATAATAAGATATAAGTCCTATGCTCCATGTCATTTCAAAACAACAATCAAAATCAGTTTTAGCCCTCCTTATTTTACTTAATATTTTTTACGTTTTATTATGAACTACACATACTTTTATTAAGTAAATCAAATGTACTACACTCAAGAACAATAGAGGAATTCTGAAACTTAATCCAAATGTTAAAGATGACAATAACAGAGAAAGAAATGAATTAAACAATACTACTAACAATAAAGCCTAATTATGGCATTATATACTGATGTTAACCAAGTGTATGCTACTTCCAAATTAATCTATGTATCTATTTCATTCACCTAACCATCCTATTATAGTTCCCAATTATTTTATATCGAACCTTGTTATTATTATTAATTCATTATAAATATTATTAATACAATTTACAATTCAAAACGTCTGACTTTATTTTGTATCTTTTTTAACAAAACTAACAATCATTTATTATTCCCTCCAATATTATAAATAATAAATTCTAATTTCATGTATATATTGTTATTTTATTTTGAATTCAAATAATAATAAAATTTACATGAATAATTCTCCTTACATTGTGAAGAAAAAGCATCGAAATGGTGATTGGGTTTGCACTATTTGTAAAAATCTCAATTTCTCCTTCAGAAGCATATGTAATAACTCAAATTATATTCATTTTTAGGTAATAGATGTAATAAACTCCCTAATAAAACATCCTCTAAACATTAATAATACTATGGATTTCCAAAATTAGTTTTAATCCATTATGAAGAACCTACTGAAAGTATAGATGATAATCTTGAAAATTAAATTGATCCAAATGTTACTTCAAGTCTTTTAGTATTAGGCTTAGATCAATTTTGAATTTGTAATTTTTTATAATTGTTTTTTAATAAATTTTCCAAATCCAATATTAATTCTTTTAGCTCCCCTCATTCAACACTTTATCCATAAACTTAACTCTAAAAATATTTAGTTAATCAAATAAATAATCCATAATTTTCAATTCAACAATACTAATTTTATTAAAATATTAAAAAAAAAAATAAATATATTTTTAAATTGGCTATCAATCCTAATTCATATTTAAACAAAGTTGAATTTATGTCTTATTAAATAAAATAAAAATTTTTGTTCTAAAAGTAAAATAATTAATATTATTATCATTTAAATATTAAATAATTTAATTAAATAAAAATCAATTTTTTAATCTCTTTTATCTTAAATGCTCAATCAAACCTATTTATTTAATTACATCATCTAATAATTTTTATTAAATTATTGAAAATTATTAATTAGTTTCAGTTTTATTAAGATAAATTATTAAATATTTGAGAATTTATCTAATTTACATACAAAACAAAAACTAATTATCATTATCAACAATTTATAACTAAAATAAAGATTAGACTTAAGAGAAGCAATATTCTTTTTTTCTATGATTTTGAATGATCCTCATTAAATGGTATTTCATCTTTTCTTTTAAATTAATTAATTAAAATGTAAATGAAATTAGCAGTTTTTTATTAAGAAATCATTAAAATATAAATTACCTAAAGCTTGTGAATTCATCAAACATGATTTTTATTTCTACTGAAGTGTTAAACCTATTTCAACAAATGCTTATAATTTTATAAAATTTTTAATTAAATTAACTTTTATTATTTTAAATTTTTTATTGGTTTCTTTCAAATAATAATTTCAAACACTTATGGTGTTCTCTACTTGATTACATCTCAAATTTAATCATATAGTAACTCCAATTAGCTTTTATGATTGAAAATTTAATATTTGTTTTGGTTCACAAATTGTATTGAGCTTTAAATAGCAGGATAAAAATTATATGATAATAATATTTTTTTTAACTTTAATAAATTGGAAGTTTTTTTCAGTAAATTCAAAAAATAAAGATTATTAAAATTTTCTTAAATTATAATAATTTCTTCAAATTTCATTTAATTGTGGCAGTCGGAAAAAAAAATTTATAAATTCTCCAATTTCTAAAAAACAACAAACATTTCAAAAAATTGAATTTTTTTTCAACTACTTTAATTAGAAATCCAAAAATTAAGTTCATTAAGGTATTTAAGAGCAATTACTTAGGAAATTTATCTTGTTTAAAACCTAACCAATTTGAATCATTGAATGACATAAATCTTTAAAACAAAAGGAGAAATATAAAAAATTATTTAAAACATTGAATTAATAGATTCTAAATAATTCGATACTTATAATCTATTTTAATTACAATTATTGAATATATCAATATCACATTGTAAATTTAAATTAATCTCTATCTAATTTTTAGGCTGTTAGTTGACTGACAATTAGCATATTGTTGATTACTCTCATAGAATCTTTTTAAATGTATTATTGATTAGAAAGAAAATATTTATCTCATTTAATAAAAAATTAATTTAGAGAAGCTGATTTGGAATTATTCCAATTTATCTCAAATTATAATTAAAGGTCTATTCTGCACAATTAATTTAGAAATTATTTATATAAAGTGAAATTTTTCGATTAAAATTGAACATTTTAGGCAGTGGAAGATAAGAGAAAAATTGGTGTTTAAGAGAATAGACAATACTTTGATTATAATCTTGAATATTTAATGTACAAATTTTTGTTATCCATTTATTCTTTTCGTGTTTATATCCTAAGATATAATGCCAACATACATAACTTCCTTTTCTTTCTTATTACATATTCAATATAAGTAAAATACAAATTTTTTTCTGAATGAGAATCACAAAAGCTTGAATATTTCTTAAAAGGAAGAATTTCAGCTCTCAGAAACAAGGTTAGTTTTTGCAATTAAATGTTAAAATGTTTAATTAGCAAATGTTTTAGTCTAAATTTCTTCATTTTTATGAAATTAAATTTCTGGTTACATAATATAATTATTTATACATTTTCTTTAAAAACTTAATCTGATTTAGAAGTAAGATTTGTTTAATCAAAGAAAATTGAGAACAGGCATTAAAATAATTGATAATTTATATATGAAATAGAATTAAGTATTCACTAATGAATATGTTATATTATTTAAAATATGAGAAAGCTATATTTATGATATATATTTTAAAGGATAATAAAATATATCTTTTTCTATTAAAAAACTCAATTTAAAAGAAACAAAAGATATATGTAAAAAAAAAACAGCTAAATTTAGATTTTTTTGAAATTAGTCTCAATATATATTTAATAAAGTAGAGATATTTGAAATGATTTAAGAGACTTATAAAATTTAAGTATTTTGAATTTTAATTTATTGTATATATGTATTTTAATGAATTATAAAAAATAATTTTTATAACACTGTTAAATATTCTTTCACAATTTTTTTTGTATGATTTTTTTCTTTATCTTATTCTTTTCTTCTTTAATTAATAAATCAATTTTATTCAAAACACTATTGTTTTTTTGGTTTTTAACTGGTAGTTTAATATCAATTTTATAAGAATAAGGGTCAATATTGATTAGATGTCTTTTTCTGTCATTTAATAGAAGACTTTTATCTTTTTTAATAACAAGTTAGGTACCAATAATATCATCATCAATGAGTTCAATGATATTATTTTATTCATCAATGAGTATACCATCTTAGGATTTATTAAGATTGAAGAAATCAAAATTGTTATTAATATAGAAAAAGCCTTATTAAATTGAAGATTTGAATTTTTCTAAAGCTTTTTCATAATTCTTGAGTTTTTTATTCTTATTGCTAAAGGTAAATGCAATATAGTCTTAATCAGATTGAATCTCATTGAAATCTTAAAAGTTAATTATTTATCCATTATCCATCCTTGATGCTGCTAATTTTTTATTTATAAATTGAATATAATTAATAATAATCATTTATTAAGTGAGAAACTCTAATTAATTGTAAGAAACATTTCAGATTCTTAGAAAGTGAATTGATCATAGTAATCCTTTTAAGGAATAGATTATGTTGGAGTATCCTGTAATTATTCTTTGATAAATGTCTATGTAAATAATAAATTTAATATAATACAGGATCTAAATTTCTTAAGTCTCTATCACTAAGTAATTTAGCTATGAAAAGAGATTATTCCAATTCAAATCATGAAAAAATGAATGTTATTTAATTTCATTAACTCCATTTGATCCTAGACGATCTGTTGGCTTATAGAAATGATAAATAAATAAATACATTATTCTTTAGCAATTATTTGAGTAAATCAATAGCTTCATCAGAGATAGGTGTATTAAATTCAATTTATTTTTATAATCTATTTCTTATCATTTATTTTATGAATAAAATGGAGGAATAACTTATAACATTACATAGAGAATTATGCCTAAAGAATACCAATCAGCAGATTTATTATGACCCTTATAATTGATATATAAATAATACCTTTTTAAATAGATTTCGAGAGCCATATAATCAAAAGTGCCACATAAAGTTGTAGTGAAATCTCCTTCATTAATATTAGTCTTGCATAAACCAAAATCTATAATCTTTATATGACCTTCAGAATCTAATAATACATTTTCAGGTTTCAAATCTCCATAGATGATATTCTTGTTATTCAAATAGCCAAAATAATGTCTGCACAATAGAATTCAGCCCAAGTTTCTTCAATTTTACCTATTCGTTTCAAATGATCAAATAATTCTCCTTTTATATATTAATTATTATAATAATACCTCCTTTTGATAAAATCAATCACTAAGTATAATTTATACTTTGTTTAAAATGCATAATATAATTTTACTATCAAAGGATATTAAACCATTGCTAAAATGTTTATATTAAGTCTTTTCGAATTATTTTCATTTTATATAATTTTCATAACCTAATTTAATTCACCAAAACAACCTTTCTATATCCTCCTCTTTTAAGAACCTCTTTAAATATAAACTATACTTATAAAAATTAAAAATTATGTAAGCATATTTAATTTTCATCACTTAATCTGATTTACACTACATTTTATACAAAAATATTATTATCTTCAGATAATCCAAAAAACAGTATTGTGTTTTCATACCTCCTATTTTTATATATACAAGCGCATCCTATTTGAAATTAGTATTATGCATAGTGATTCCTATTTCAATCTATTATAATTATAATTAATAAATAGCTTCATTTTACTATTACTTATAGTGATCATTTTTATATTCAACAATTAGACGCAAAGCAGATTATTAGTCAATATTTTACAAATAATCTTTCTTTAATAAATTTGATATTTAAATCAATATAATTTGAAGAATAAATTTATATTTAATTGTGCAAAATATTATTGTAATTATTATAATTTACAAAACCTCTAATGTAAACTCTTATAACAATTTTTTAGATATTATAATAATAATAAATACAACTTCAAATATTAAGATCCAAAATTTAAAAAGTAAAATGAAATTAAGATTAATAATTACAAAATTTATCAATAATTTATAAATAATTTGTTATTTGCACAATGCAGTTAAAATTTTCAGAAACAGATGGGTTTGTTTATGATTTACTTCATTTCTTATGGTTAAAAGATCCAATCTCAAAAGTAAGTAGATATAATTAATAGAAAGCACCAAAAATTAATATTCCTTATACTCTCTAAATAAAAGCAGGATAGGTGAAATTTTGGTATTTCAGTAAGGAGGGAGTAATTTATAGAAAGAGTAAAGAGAAATTAGATCCTGATTATTTGAAATAGTTATTTAATTCAGATAAAACAAATAAAACAGAAGCAGTGTGGGTTTTTGAAGAAAATGATAAGCTTAAATTTAATTATATGAATAAAATGGAAGTTGGTCATTTTATTGAGAAATTAGACTATTTAGATGAGGGTATATTATAGGGATTCATATATCCTAAAAGAGAATGTAACAGTACAATAAAATGTGTTTGGTAAAAGAATAGTTGCATTTTCGAGTAAATCTATAATATAAACAAAATATAAAACAATTCTTTAAATCCCAATTAAAGAATCACAACATTTGAAACTGATGGAGGTCCAACAATAAGTACTACGTATATATATATATATTTATGCAATTTTATAGATTAAATTCAAATGTCCTTGCTTAATCATTAGAATTAATTTGCTAAGAAATCTGTTAACATATTAATAATGTGACATTTGAGAAGATTAAGATATCTTTAATGGAATTATACTTTAGATAAGGTGAAGATGGTTTAATATATTTATTATTCTGCTCTAAAGTTAGAACAACTACATAAAAGAGTAATAGTAGTAGTAATGTGAGATTAACTTTAAAAGTACCTTTACCTAAAGGTCCAAACATAGTTGAATATACAAATCAAAGATGTGTTGGTTGTAAAGTAATTTAGAATGTAAATTTATTTGAGGAAGTAAATATGATGCATTTATATCACTCTTTAGATAACTATTAGAGAAATTATAGAAAGTTGGGATAGACATCATGAAATTAAATATAGACAAGATCCTCCAATTATAGAAATGGATAAAAATTGTTTGGTTCCGAAGATTCTTAGATTTATTTATCCAAGTTTGGACTTTAACCATTATTAAGGTTTAAAATCGAATTCAGCATTCACTTACTAAAAAATTAAATTATGTTTAAAGTGTTATAAGAATGTACATGACAATAAATCTAGATTTTCTACAGCCACCTATTCTATACAAAAAAAAATCATGATGAGGTAGAAATCTTCATAAAGTACTTTTTAATATGATACATAATCAATTAAAAAGAGTTTACCAAGTTAAGAATCATTTACATAAAATACTCAAAGTTAAACTAAGAATAATAGTACTCATAAAAGAAGCATTTCTAATACATCTTATATGTTAAAATACCGATGTAGTACTTAATTTGTCTTCAATTAATCTATAAGCTAGATATTTAGAAACGAGTAAAGTTAATAAAAAATTTGAAGTAAATCATTAATTATATCTAATCACACAACTACCTCTATATTTAATTAAATACAGTATTAAATCTATTCAATCATTCTTCAATTTTAGCTCGATTATAAATCTATTAATTTTCCTACACATTTTTCATATTCTCAAACTTTATTCTAAGAATAATTTTCGGCTTTCTTTCCTAATTAAGTGAAAAGTCTTTCTTATTGTCAAAAGAATCTGTTTTTTATTTTAATATTTCTCTTAAAATTGAAGGAGATATCCAATTTTATCAGAATTATGCTTATGTCTAGTAATTTTTCTTTATTGTACATTTAATATCTTTAATAAGTTTAAATATTCTTTCTCTCTAATTAAATTTTTAATTGAATCCTTTTATACATATTCAATTTTATTTTTTGTAGAACAAATTTTTAATTAATTAAATTTCAAAAGTTAAATAGAAGATTGAAGGATATTTAAAATTAATTTAACTAATAACAACTAATTTAAATCAATAATAATGACTGATTCTGATTAACAAAAATAATTATTCTTTTCAAAAGAGATTTTTTATTTTACTCACTTCATATATGAGATCTTTTTGTAAAATTAAGTTCTTAATTTTTTTAAACTCGATGCCTACTTTTCAAATTTAAAATCTTAAAAATATATTTAAAAATAAACAATTGAGTTAGCCTTATGTCATAAAAGGCATAAATCTTCATAAGGTAGCTCTGTTTTCATTTATCAATCAAATAAATTACTAAGTGGATGCTGATATTCAACTCAAGGGATTCTTTAATATTCAATTGAAAGATATGAATTATTTATAAGAATGAATGAAGGTGATGGTAATAAATTTGCTAAAATCTCTTTCAATTTTTTTTATTATTAATGTTCATAAATAGTTGTTATAATGAAATATTATTATAAAATTTAATTGAAATGTTTTTATCATTCAGTTTTAGCACTTTTGAAAAATTGATAACTAAAAGTTGTAAGTGATAAATTATTGAAATAATTTATTATATGTATAAATTAAATGCGATACAAGGACATTCATTTTTAAATTTTTAGGCTCCCTTAAACTACTTTTAAAAAAAGAAACTCTTCTAACTGGCAAATGAAATAAAACCAAGAAAGAAAGATTCTCTTGGGAGAGTAGTAATATCGTAGTCTCTTTCAAAAAGTTTTTGGTTTAGAGATTACAATTCAGGGAGATCAATAAATAAAAGATTGAAAGAGGATCGTCCCAATAATCATAGAATACAGAATCCAATTTATTTTAAGAGGAGAGATATTCAAGAATATTTACAAAACTACACAGCAAGAGCTTACACATAAAATCCATCGAGAAAATGGAGAAAATATCGTAATTTGATGTTAGATCACAATACTCATATATAGATGTCAAGAGAGTAAATAAAATAAAAATTTTAAGAGACTCTAAATTTATTGATTCCTAATAAATAATTTTCACCTCCAAAGAGTAAACGTGGCTCTTTCATGAATTAGTTATAATAACAATTATTGTTAGATCTTCGAACAAGTTAACAATCAAAAATTAATCGTTTAAGTAGGTAAGCATCAAATAGAAAAGATGAAAGTATGAAATCATTCGATAGACATTTTTAAGATATTAATTGTGGATAAAGTAATTTTAATAATTCCTATGTTCAAGAGAAACTTATATCATCTAATTAGATCACTCCTAGGAATAGATTCTTAAAAGATTGTTTTAGATTATATGGAATCGATTCATAAATTCAAGCACCAAAAAATAAATTAATTTTTACAGATTCTGTTCAATTAGTTGAATCCTTAGAAACTAGATGTGATAAAAATGAAGGTATCTAAAATTATCGTGAGAAATCCAATTCAAAGTAGAATAATTTATTAAACTTAATAAAGAAATAAAGATAAAAGAACATATAAACCAAGATAGCATCTCCAAAGTATCTTAGAGTAAATAATTCAAATCCTAAAGATAACAAAATTATTAATATTTATTTTCCATCTCTCAAAAAATACAATGCAAGAGATCTTTCTTGATTGTCTTTATATACTTTAATTTTATTAAAATATTTGTTAAATAAATAAAAACACTACAGTTAATGAAATAATAATAAAATTAACATTAAGTTCAAAATCAAACTTAAATCCTTCGAGGATATTCACCTGCTACCTTGAATTAGAATAATAGTAAGATTATTTAATTGATTCTTTAGATTTACCAATTTCAAATTAGTTTAATGAGGAAATTCAGCATAGAATAAAACTCAAGTATTAAGAGTTGGGATTGAAGTAACCTTTGTATCCATTATAACCATAAATCTTATCATCTGAGAATGGTATATACAATTTCAGAAAGGTATTTGATCCAGTAAGAGATGGTCGACTTGAATTCTAAATGGATCCAAGTAAGAACTTTAATTTTTATTGTTTTTTAGAGTATATGGATTAACTCAAAGATTATAAGAATAAGTATTTGGCTCCAAGCAGAAATTATGATTTGTAGTACAGGAATCCTGCTACCAAAATTAAAAACCATGATTTTTACTTTCAGGATTTCTATATGAATCTATATGAATAGGATAAAGAAGAGTAGTTTTTTAATAAATACGGGAAGAAGTTTGTATACTAAGAATGATGATTTATATTAAAAAATATTGAATTCAACTTTTAAAGATATCTAATTACAATAACTAAGGTTAGATCAATATAAAATACTTCTTTTGCTGTAGCCCTTTGATATGGGTCAACCACAAAAATACGAGATAATATTTTATGGACATCACGATCTTAATTAGTTATATTGGATTCATTATTTCTTATTTTCTTAAATAGCTCTCTTTCATTTTCTCCTTTGAAAGGAAAACTACCTTATAAGAGAGCAACTAATAATACTCCTGTTGCCCAGATGTCTGCTCCTCTTCCATCATATTTGAGTTTTGAAACAACTTCTGGTGCCATATAACTAGGTGTACCACAATGACAAGTGATTGGTTGATTAGTAAAAGTACTGAAACCAAAATCTATAAGTTTGATTCTTTTATTTTGTATAAGGATATTTTCTAATTTAATATCTCTATGGCAAACATTTCTATCATGGATGTAATGTAAAATTTTAAGTAATTAATGAATAATATGAAATGCAAATTCTTTGGGTAAGGTTCTTGTAGTAGTTGATTTAAGCAATTGATACAAAGATTCAGTGCCACAATATTCTATGACTAGATTGATATAAGAAGTATAATGATAGACATCATGTAATTTGGCAATTTGATCATGAGATAGAATTCTTAATGTGTTGATTTCTTTGATTAGATTATTAAACCTTTCACCTTTGAGTAATGCTTTATCATACATTTTGATGGCAACTTTATTACCATGACGATCAGTTCCCATTTTGACAATAGCATAGCTACCTTTTCCAATAATAGGTCCAATAGAATAGATTTTATCATCACAAGTAGATGGTATTTATTTAGATAGAGTATCATGATGATTGGTAGAATCTTTAGCACTAAGATTACCTTGTATTCTTTTTCTTTGAATTTTAGATGATAATCTTAATTATTAGTATTATTGATTAGTATTATGATTCAATGTATTATATTATTGGCTTTCTTTGGTGCTTAATTAACGTTATTCATTATTTGAATTTTTGGTTATGAAGTTGTCCTCAAATTTAGGTAATTCTCTACCTCTACTAGGAGTTCTAATTTTAAAGTAGGTAGTAAGATTATTGAGTCTGTAATTGTTTAATCTGGAGGGAGGTGGTTTTGATGAATTATTGGGAATGTTTTCCTTGTTGTCAATAGATTTAAGTCCTTCTCTAGGAGGTTTACGAATATTCATGAATCTGTTAAAAATTAAATATAAATAGAGAGTAACATAATAAAAAATAAACATTGAATTATATTGAATTATATTGAATTATATAAAAAATAAATAAAGAGAGAGTATATGATGATAATTATAGTAATAATGCGTCAGTGATTAAATAATAAGAAGAAAGGGTTTGATAGTGAGAGTATCATTAAATATGATAAGAATTCAATAATTAGGATAGCAATTCAATGGAACGAAGTCAACATTGACAATTGAGGATTCAAGATCAGGGAAGAAATACGAGATTCCAATTTCTAATAATTTTATTAAGGCAAGTGATTTAGAAAAGATAAAAGATAATAATGGTTCATTGATTCGTTCCTATGATCCTGGTTATATGAATACAGTGAATTGCGTATATATTTGGCATTAATGAGCAAGACATCTAAAATCAGTTTTATTGATGGTGACAATGGCATTCTTGAATATCGAGGTTATCCAATAGAGTAATTGGCAGAGAAGAGTACATATTTAGAAGTAGCCTTTTTACTGATCTATGGGGAATTACCAACTTAATTGCAATATGATAAATGGTGTAAAAAGTATTGAATAATTTATTATTTAATTTAAGAATCTAGACACATACATTTGTTCATTAAGATCTTTATGGATTACTTTCTTAATTTAGATATGATGCACATCCGATGGGAATGGTTATTAGTGCACTTTCAGCAGTGAGTACTCTCCATCCAGAAGCTAACCCAGCCTTATCAGGATAAAATATTTATGCAGTAGCTATAAATAATTATTTTGTTTAGGACTAAAAATCAAGAAATAAATAAATACATAGAATGATTGGATCTATAACTACAATTACTGCACTTGCATATAGAAATAGGATTGGTAGATAACCCAATTAACCCCATTAATAATTAGGATACGTTGAGAACTTCCTTTATATGATGGATAGATTAAATGAAACTAATTATGCTCCACATCCTACTATAGCAAAGGTCTTAGATATTCTTTTCATTTTACATGCTGAACATGAATTGAATTGTTCTACATCTGCTGTTAGACATCTCACATCTAGTGGTGTTGATATCTACACTGCTATTGCTGGTGCTGCTGCTGCACTTTATGGTCCTAAACATGGTGGAGCTAATGAAGCTGTCTTGAGAATGCTTGAAAAAATTGGATCCAAATAAAATATTCCATCATTTATTGAAAATGTTAAAAATAAAAAAGCACTTCTCTTTGGGTTTGGACATAGAGTCTATAAATCTTATGATCCCAGAGCTAAAATTGTTAAATAATTAGCTTATTAAGTCTTTGATCTTGTAGGCAAAGATCCCTTAATTGAAATCGCTTTAGAATTAGAAAACATTGCATTAAATGATAAATACTTTAAAGATAGATCACTCTATCCTAATGTTGACTTCTATACTGGAATCATTTATAAAGTAAATCTATCATATTTATCTCTAGGCTCTCGGATTCCCTACTGATATGTTTCCTTTATTATTTGCTATCCCAAGAATCTCTGGTTGGTTAGCTCATTGGTGTGAATTCCTTGATGATCCTGAAAATAAAATTGTTAGACCTAGATAAAATTATCAAGGATACAAACTTAGAGAATATGTCCCTATTGAATAAAGAAAATAAACAGACTCTTATATTCATGCACCATCAACTTCCTTTTCAACAAGAAGAAACGTTTCTGTTAAAAAATGATTTATCAATTTCATTAGTATAATAAAACCATTTTATTTATCTATTTCACATTTTTTTTATTTTTTTTTAAATATGTATGTATTATATCAATCAATATCATTATGAATATGAATCATATCTCTTATTAATATTTGAAAATATTTCAAAAAATTTCTTAATTATATTTTATTTAATGTATTGTTGAACATCTAAAAAAGTAATAAACCTTAGAACATCATATATTGTGATATCAGAGTTAATAGAATACAATGAAGGGAAAAAAAACAATAAAGATCATTAAGTTTAATTTATTTATGGTAATATAATTTTTATGTTATAGAATAATTACTTTTGAGATCCATTAAAAAGTTGTCAATATGATCTAATATATTTTTCAATTTTGAGATAAGATAATATTATCTTTTGCTTTTAACTAATGGATTATAGATAACATAAAAACAAATGTCAAAATTTTTAAAAATAACTTCTTTTGGATATCTTAATAAAATAAATAAGCAAATATTCCTAAAATGATTAAAATCAGGATTCAAAAAGTGTAGGGTAAATTTTACAGAATCTTCGTTCCAAATGAATGTTTATTAGCTCAAGATCTATAGCAAGTATCTTATGAAAGTGTGACTAGATTGCCAAGTACACAAAGATTATTGACTACAACGCAAATAGTACTTTTAGTACCATCAAAATTAGGTAGTGGATTAGAAATAGTGCCTGAAGCGTAATTATTATTGTAGTTGCATTAGTTTTAGTAGTCCATTTACATATTTTCGGTTTACTTTTGCATGCATCTTAATTATGATTGGCATCTTCAATCTGAAATTGTTGGTATAGGTGTGAATGTACATTGACCATCTAAATTTCCTACTTAACAACACATTTTATTTTTATAATTGGAACATGCATCTTATCTAATACAAGTAATTCCATAAGAAACATAATTTTTATAATTTATCCTATTCAAGCAATATTAGTGTTCCTTAAATATCTGTACATTCTTTGGATCTTCTACAAAATTAATTTCCAGTAGTGTAACCAATAGGGAAGGTATAAATACATGATATTTGATCTTCTCCTGTTGTACATACTGCTTAAGTTTAATAGAAAGTACATTTTTATGAGGCAACACATTTAAAACCTCAGTAGTACATATAATATTTTAACTTTATAGAGTTAACGTTATTAATCAGTTTTAGCAATTTTATTTGTACATTCTACTAATCTACATAAATTCCATTATCATTATCCATCAATACCAGAATTATCACAAGCTGTTTTGTTTTATTAAGAACATGTTGTTCTATCAATACAAGTGGTTCCATCTGGAACATAATTCTTATTTATCCTTGGTATATCTATTATATTAGAAGCTTCATTATTTATAAGATATACATTATCCAATAGTCCCACATTCTGCTCAACTTGTTATACATATCTTAATTGTAGCATCAGAATCAATACAAGTATAATCTCTACTAGCACCTTAACTATTACCATTAAACCATCCACATTTATTGAGTATTTATGCATACATATTGTTTATCCATGATTCTTTAGTGCATTACATTAAGTTGTTATACTTCTACATTATCCTGCCCTTTAACATAATTTTTTATATTTGAAATACTAGATTATTTTTAAATGTAATCATTCCATTCTACTTAACTTTAACACCTCTATTGGTAGTTTTACAATTTGGACCATAATTTGAACATTCAATATTTATACTCTAGCAATAGATTCTACAGGAGTAGACCAAATTTAATTAGCTTTACAAGAATCATCACTTGCTGTAAATTATGAACATTTAGTATCATCGTATCATCTCCTTTAGATAGACTTATTAGTTGTATAAATATCTAACATTCTTTATCATTCTTATCTGAAAACTTTCTTTCTATTCAACTCTTCATTACATTAGTACTACTTCCTCAACAATGTTTAATTCAACTATTAAGTTTGAATAACGAACAAGTTGATTAAGTAATTTAAAATTCTCTAATTATATTTTATTTAATTATTATGAATTTTTATAAATAACTGAATTTTAAATTAAATAATTTATATAAATAAATTTTAAATTACATTTTTTTATCTTGATTAAAACTATCAAATTAAGCAGATATTTTCAAATTATCTCTTGATGTAATAAAACAAATAAATTAAATGAAAAATTTTTTAATTTATATGGTAAATTTCAATATTCCATGAATCTTTTTTGGAATTTCTACAATTACTTTAATTTTAAATTTCTCATAGTTTTATATCTCAAATTTTCTTTAATTTATATAAAGAAGGCTTAAAAGATCTTTAATAAATATACATTTATAAAGTACACCATAAGGTATCTACTTTTAAATATAAATAAACAATCATGTAGTTAGATATTATTAAAAGAGTTCAAAAAAATTTACTGATAATATTTTAAAAAAATAAATATGTGTTAAAATTTAAGATTTAATGATTAATTAAACTTGAATGCAATATAATTTTTTTATAAATTTCAATTAAGAGTGTCTTTAAATAAATTTATTCTTATTTAAGTAAACAAGTTATCTGTTAGGATTTTAAGTTAAATTTAATTAACTCTTCATAAATTATTTAAACTAGATGGGAAATGTTACCTCATTAGAAAATACTATTAAAACGAATAACATACTATGCCTATTGAGAACTAAATTAATCTAATCTAGAAGCATGCATGCAATAATTTGTATTCGATTTCAATTTTTTGTTTATTTTAAAAATTGATTATCCATTATAACTTGAATTTTAACTTAATACTTTAGATAAAATTTTAAAGCAATTGTTAGATTGAAGATTGAATTTGAAGTAATAGTTGAAGAGGAAAATGTGAATGAAGTAAAAATAGTTTTGAAATATTTGATTAAATGAAGTTTCAGATTGGTGTAAGAAGCAAATACTTTTGAATTTGTTAGATATCTATCACCTCAAAGTAAAAATTAGATTATCTAAGCAAATTAAGTATAATTTTAGAAAACATAATTTTTTTGTGTTGGAAATTGATTAGAATTTCTAAGAGTTGAGTAATTAAATTGAATGCAAGTGTTTAATTAAGATTTTGATATTATTTAAAACTTAATCAATTGTTTTAAGTACTTATTTTTTATTCCTTGAAACCTAAGTTATGTTCACTAGAACTTTATTTTCTTATTAAACAATACTTTATTAAACTGAAAATAAGTACTGTCAATCAGAACAATATGGAAGATAGAATTTTTAGAAATCAGAAGGATCTGGATAATTAGAAGAATATTTAAATAGTATAAAAATTGATCTATAGATAAATGAAAATAAATGGAAAATTGTTGGGTGTTTAATAAGATTAGAGGAATTTAGGATGAGTTTAATAAATAAAAGGAATTGGTAATATATGAGATTAAATGATATAGATAAATAACTCTTTTATAATTGAAACAATTTAATTAATTAATCATAACGAGAATCTCAACACAGTAGTCCTTATATTATGATGGGTTTGAAATAGACAGTTTTAATTGAATCGATTTTGGGTGAGGGTTTAGTTTGAGTAGATAATGATTCAAATTTTGGATTGATAGAATCTGATTTGTAGGGTTTGAATGCTGATTTGTTAGGTACTTATAGATAATGATTGGATATTTACATAAATTGGCATAGAAGGCAGTAGGTTATTCTTCTTTTTCTGAATCATCAAAAATGAATGTCATTTTACGTGATTATTTAGATATTTGTTTTTGTAATTTAATTTGTTAAAATGAACTTGAATTTTAGTTTGAATGAGTTTATAATTAAATTAAGTTCGACTAATTGTAAAATTTAAATTTATACATTAATAAGCACTTCTTTTTTGATTGAATAAATTAGTTTCTTCATTCTTTTAAGTACTTGATTAGTTGGAGCAAAAGGATAATTTCTAAGAATGGAAGGTTTTCTCATGAGTAGAAATTGATATGTAGTATAAATGATTTTAGATCCATTCTGTTCTTACATAACTTATGAAGGTGTGATACGTTTAAGCAGAGATTACAACTAAGAGTATTTTGAGTACTTTTACCTCTTCAATTAATTGATCTTCATTCTTTTGCATAATTAATTATGAGAGTATTCGTTAAAATTCAATATTATATGAGACTTGATGTGTTTTTGAGATTGGATTATTTGCTTTGATTTACTGTCTATTTAGATAGAGTCTTTTAATTAATGAATGTTATTACTTCTCATTATTCTAAGTTTGAACTACATATTAAATAGGTGTTCGATTAGTGAATATCGTGGTGATCTAATATATAAACTAAATGCATATACAACTCCATTTTCCCAAAGTTATTAAGTTTTATTTACTTGAAATTTAATAGCTTCGTTTATTTCGAATTCTGGTTCCATTGCTTTTTGAATTTGAATAGTATAATAATTAATATTTTAATAACGATTTTTATAAATTATTTTTGTTTGTATGAATTTACATACTCCCAATTTTCACATAAGTTAAGAAAACTATTTCTAATTAAATGAAATTAGTCAATGTCTGAAATATACTGCTTATATAATTGATATTAATGTATAACAATTACATCATATATTGATAGATCATTCTAACATCAACTTTACATTAAACCTTTAGTACTTAAACTATTACTTTAGATTAAGTACTTCCTACAAGATTGGAGAAGTAATTAAACAATATTTACTTTAGTTACATGATGCCAAATATACAATTAGATTAAACTTTTCCAGATTATGTTTCAAATTTGTCATTGAATGAGATTCTCAATCAAATTAGATATGATTAAATATTACAATTTGCTAAACCTCTTGGTATTGATCTTTAAATAGTTTAAGCTTAGTGATCGAACAAAAGGAGTAGAAATAATTCTAAATTATAAATACACAATCCAATAAGTAAATTGGATTTCAATAAGTAAATGAACTTAACTATAAATATAGAAAAAAACAGATGGGTTATTATCCAATTAAATTTTTAATACTAAAATCAATAACACTAGATCAATTAGTCCATAACCAATGAGTACAATTATCAATAACTATTAATCTAACACATAAACTTAAATTCCAATTCTATAAACTGAATCAGGTTTAATCAATGATTAATTTATCAACTTAAATCCTAATTTATTTAGTAGTAATTGCTTATTAACTGATACTCCTTAAAGTTATTAATAATATTAATTGAATAAATGGACTGACAAATCTAAAGATAAACTTCTCTTTTAAGATAATTTTATGATANGCATAATTAATTATGAGAGTATTCGTTAAAATTCAATATTATATGAGACTTGATGTGTTTTTGAGATTGGATTATTTGCTTTGATTTACTGTCTATTTAGATAGAGTCTTTTAATTAATGAATGTTATTACTTCTCATTATTCTAAGTTTGAACTACATATTAAATAGGTGTTCGATTAGTGAATATCGTGGTGATCTAATATATAAACTAAATGCATATACAACTCCATTTTCCCAAAGTTATTAAGTTTTATTTACTTGAAATTTAATAGCTTCGTTTATTTCGAATTCTGGTTCCATTGCTTTTTGAATTTGAATAGTATAATAATTAATATTTTAATAACGATTTTTATAAATTATTTTTGTTTGTATGAATTTACATACTCCCAATTTTCACATAAGTTAAGAAAACTATTTCTAATTAAATGAAATTAGTCAATGTCTGAAATATACTGCTTATATAATTGATATTAATGTATAACAATTACATCATATATTGATAGATCATTCTAACATCAACTTTACATTAAACCTTTAGTACTTAAACTATTACTTTAGATTAAGTACTTCCTACAAGATTGGAGAAGTAATTAAACAATATTTACTTTAGTTACATGATGCCAAATATACAATTAGATTAAACTTTTCCAGATTATGTTTCAAATTTGTCATTGAATGAGATTCTCAATCAAATTAGATATGATTAAATATTACAATTTGCTAAACCTCTTGGTATTGATCTTTAAATAGTTTAAGCTTAGTGATCGAACAAAAGGAGTAGAAATAATTCTAAATTATAAATACACAATCCAATAAGTAAATTGGATTTCAATAAGTAAATGAACTTAACTATAAATATAGAAAAAAACAGATGGGTTATTATCCAATTAAATTTTTAATACTAAAATCAATAACACTAGATCAATTAGTCCATAACCAATGAGTACAATTATCAATAACTATTAATCTAACACATAAACTTAAATTCCAATTCTATAAACTGAATCAGGTTTAATCAATGATTAATTTATCAACTTAAATCCTAATTTATTTAGTAGTAATTGCTTATTAACTGATACTCCTTAAAGTTATTAATAATATTAATTGAATAAATGGACTGACAAATCTAAAGATAAACTTCTCTTTTAAGATAATTTTATGATAGAAGAAGAACTAAATAAATAAAAGAAACCAAATACAATTATTATTAAGAAAAGCGAAGATCCGTAATTTTTTTAATAACTAAAAAATGCTCGTGTGGCTTCTCCAAATTTGAAATAAGTAAAGGGATCAGGTTTATCACCAGAACCTTATAATTAAAGCAAATCTAAATCTCCAGAAGTGTTATAAGTAAATTCAACTACTAATTGTAAACAATGGGAAACCACTTCAAATATTAGATAATAAACATAATCAAATTATAAATATTAATAGAATGTTTAAAAATAATTACCTGAGCATTTTAAAAAATTATTAACTGATAACAACTAAAGATTAAACATTAGTAAGCCTTTTGATTCAAACAATACTAAATTTGCTTTTATTTAATCTGGGTCAACTGCTTAATAGAAAAAGATTAAAAAATCAAAATAAACAATGATTCAAGATTCTTTAAATGATAATCAAATGAAGGTAATTTAGAGTGATAAATAATTTACTCCTAGAATTAATGAATAATCATTTGTCAATTAAACTATTTAAATGTTGCTTAGTGAATAATAATCAATTCCTAAGAGTAGAAGTTAGAATAAAAAATAAGATGAGAAGATGAATTAAAATTTTATTGATTAAGTTTCATTTAAACCTTAATTTGAATAAAAGCAATATAAATAACCAGAGATTAAGTCTGGAGTACCTGAATAAATGATTTAATAACAATTTGTTGATTATAAATCTGTAAGAGGAATTTCACCAAAGAATATATGTGTTCAATAATAATAAGTTCCAGTAGCTTCTAATTAATAAAAAGAGCCAGTTTAAATTAAATTAGACATTAAATAATTTATGAACTCAAACAAACCAAAAGATTTATAGTAACGATCTCCTAGATCTATAAGTCCAATATATAGTTAAAGATAATAATTAGGTATTTATTAAAATATTTTCGTAGGAGTAACTAATGAAAATGGAAGATCTTATTTTATCAATTTGAATTTTTAGAAATGATTGATTGATTAATTAATTAATTATAAATGAATTCCAAATATCTTACTTCTTTTACTTAGGAATGAATATTCCTATTTAATGTATTATTATCTAGGTTTTCTAAACATTTTGAAATTTCATGCGAATAAAATTATATGATTATAATTAATTAAATATATTAATGATGTTTTCCAAATAATTTCAACATACTCAATCTCAAAAGAGTAGTGATTCTGGTTTTTCTAGTTAACAATTTAATTAGAGACCTTTTAGATATGAAAATCAATCATCTGTTAAATCACATTGGTAGAAACTTAAGTCAAATGAAACTGACAATGATCCAATAACAAGACGCGACAGAACTGTTAAATCATTAGTAATTATTAATGATTATATTAGACTGTCTTATAAGAAATTATGAGTTGCTCCAATTAAAAAAAACTAATAAAATTAGTTAGTTCATTTCTGTAATCAGAATAGCAATTAACTTAAATTTGTGAATAATTGGAAAAATAATAAATAGTATCACTTTTCTTAAAAATTCATCATATGCAAAGTCCTTAACTTGTCTAGTTCTTGCATTTACTTTATGATTCTATGTTTTCCTTAGACTCATCAGTTAGTTCTAAGATTTATACTCATTAAGAAGTTCTTAAATACATACTTTTATCTAATTATGAATAAATTTAAGGACAAGCGGGGTAATTAACTAGAATACTTGAGATTTTATCAGAGATGTAGATACTTAATCCTGATTTTTAAGCATTTGAAGAAGAATTTTAAGTTGATATGGAAGAAGTAAAATAATTATATTTATAATTTAGATTTAAAATTCATTCAATAAAGTATAATTGAGAGTATTATTTTTGATAAGTTCAATTGATATTCTTCGGGCTTTGAAAGGTTCAGTAGTATTATTTGAACGATTAGAATCGTTTGTGTTTTCATAAATTAAGAATAATTAGATGTCAAATATTAGTGATATGTAAACTCTTGTGATAGCTTATGTTTTATTGAGTGAATAATTAGATATTGCTAATAAATTAGGTTATTCAAAATAAGCTATAGACATTATTGGAAAAGCTTAAGATTATTCAATTTATGAATTAAAAAAAAGATTTATCAATAATGCTATGAAATTATCATAAAAATATTTAGGTTCATAAGTCTATGATCAAATTATTAATATGAATAGATCATTCAGTCCAGGATTTAATAGATAACCTATGGCTCATTTTAATTAATCAGAAAATTTGTCATATCAATTTCTAGTTAATTAATTGAAAATGGATTACACTTTAAATAATGATGAAAATTTTTCGATTGATTCTAAATGCAACAATCTATTGACAAATCCTCTCATTTGTTAAGTTATGGATAAGTAGTATCAATTATATTTTTAGACTCTTACCATCTACATAAAAAAAGGAAAAAGTGAATTCAATATTTACAGAGCAAAGTCAAATTGAAAAAAAGAGTCACCCTATTATTGTAAAAAAACAGTTTTCAATTAAATAATTGAAATAAGAGAATATGATATAATCTCAAACTTAATAATAAGTATCAACTCCATCATAAAAAAACTCATAATAAGTAATATTCATTAATTTATTTAATTAGATGTCCTAAACATAAGGATTTCAATCATCTTAGATTAAACCTTAGTCCAACATTAATGCTAAACCTGGTTTAGATTCTAATGAGTTTGAAATCCTTTAAAGTAAATTAGGACGTCAATAATAAGAATTAGAAGAATTAAAATAATTGTATAATACAAATATGGCTTAAAAAAAGAATGAACTCAATTAAACTAATTAATAAAACTAATAAAATGATTAATTAAAGAAAAAAATTGAATTATTGGAAAATAATTTAGTCTAATTAAAGAGTGAAAATACTACATATAAAAAAGAGAAAGATTAAAAATAAAGTGAAGTTAATGAGTTAAGATCATTTATACAAGATTTACAAGACAAATAGTTAAAATTAGAAAAATTAGTTCAATAGTAATAACAATAATAATAATTTCAATAATAATAACAATAATAATTATTATAATTATAATTATAATTACAACAATAATAATAGCAATAACAATAATAATAACAATAATAATAATAGTAATAATAATAGTAATAATAATAATAATAAATTTCTCCTTAATAATCATTACCAAACCCAGCTTTATAATATTTAAAAACATAATAAAGTAGTTATTCAACAAAAGCTAACACCTAGACTTAAATGAACATATAAATTCCAACAAGCAATCCAGATGATAAAAATAGATTATTTATAAGAGCATAAAGTTAAATGAGCCATTCTCCAGGAGAAGAATTTAAAAATGAAATGGATGATACTAGTCCTAGAATAATAAAATAAAATTAAACATATTTGCTATAATTATTAGATATGTTAGATTTAAATACTTCATTTACTAAATCTTACACTAAATTACATTCTATAAATGAAAATAATTCATGGGAAAGTGATGTATAAATAGTTCACAATTTCAAACTTGAAAGTTTAATTACTGATTCAAATGAAGGAAAGGTTTTAATGCTAAAAGCTTATAATTAATAATAAAACATTGCATGTACAGAATCAATATCATTTGATCTATTGAAAAGTCTTCTTGGTTATGTTGATTTTTAAGATACTCTTCCAACAAATTTACCAAATATTAGTACAACTCATCAATTCTTTAAATTTCTTATATTACCTTATACTACAGTGGTTTAAGATGAAAATACTTAATAATATAAAATTTAATTATGGCCTAAACCTTATGGATTATTAAATGGATTAAATTTAAAATTAGATTTTTTAGATCTTAATTGTTTAGTCTATGTTCATCATTTAGAAACTGATTAATTTAGAATAATTATTTTTGATCCTGCTAGTTATGATTGCTTTAAATTAGATTTAGAAATGGATTATTCTTCTATTGATACATTCTTTTAAGATGCTAAATCTATAAAAGATGAATATAATTATTATTGCAAAAGTAATTTATTGAAACTTACAGATAAAACTCCTAAATTTGGAGATGATGATGTAGCTGAAGCTTTAGTAGAAAGACATTTTTCAAAAGATAAAGTTAAATCAGTTTAAACAGGAATTTAATTAAATTAATCTTATGCTCAAGAAAATCTTATTTTAAAATAACCAATTGAATTTCTCAAATATATTAAATAAATTGTTTAAATTTTTGAATAATAACTCAAATTATAATAAATAACATTTCCAAATAGTTTACTTGGTATGAAATATTTTAGATGCAAAACTTGGAATGCTGGCACTAAAAGCCAAATACAAATTGTTAAAGAACAATTAGATCAATAATAAATTTCTATATATTTGGCTAATTGTTTTGAATCTTTTGGACCAAACAAATCTAAACTTAAAGCTAAAGGAAGCACAAATATTAACTTTTCTGCTATTTAAAGAGAATTTGCTGTCTCTTATGATAAATTATAAATTGAAGAAAGAGCTACAATCTTGTAAACTATTTTATATTCATTTAATTTGAATATTTTTGAAAAAGCATGTGAATAAGATGAACAATAATTTGATAAAAATCCTATCGTATAAAGTATCTACGATTGTGGTTCATATAGAAGGTATTTAATATAAATAACTTAGAATCATTGCTTTTGATAATGGTAAAATATCTTAAGTTACTGTCTAAGTTATAGGATCAAACAGAAGAATGTGTGGTATTAAATTCTCTGTTTTCAATATTGATGAAACTATTGAAAATGGAGTTTTCTTACCTGTTTCATAAAGTGAATGGGATACTAGAGCTATGGAAAAATAAAAAATTAAAGCCTCTGTCTAAAATGTTCCTTTTGCAGAATATTTATTAACCTAAATTCTCAAATGTCCAACTACCTAAACTGTATATTATTTATTTTTTATATAGATTTTGTTTAAAAAGATTTTAAATGCTGATTTTAAATCTAATTAAATTAATAGTAATGAAATTAAAAAGAGAAAGACATTCATTGAAAGAATAGATAATTTATTAACCTGGCAAGAAGTCATGGCAAATTTATGAGTATTAAATTAATTAATATCAATTATATTTCACTATCTTTTTTCAATTTTTATAATATATACAATTTAAATCTTTTTATTTGTAGATAAATTACTTAGATTTGTAAAAATTATTATAATTTTCACAATAAATCGATCTAATTCTATTATTTTTTAACTATTTTCGAAATCGTACTACCTCTATTAACCGATTAAAATTATGAAATTATGATAGATTCATTATTTCTTTAAGAACCCATAATTGACGAATTCTAAATATCCACTTTTAATTGATAATTTTCCCTAAAAAATAATAAAAATAAATACTGTTCTAGTTATTGAATTCTTGAAAGTTTTGCTTATAAAGTTTAACTTGAAGTTAATTAGTATGATCTTCTTAAGGATTCCTCTTAAAGATATTTTTTTTAAATTTCTTATAATTATGTATGTAACTTTAGATTTTCTTCATATACACCAACTTCTTCATAATTTAATTATTTTTTTAATTTATTTAACTAATCAAATAAGTAATCATATTTTTCTTATAGTTCTGCAACTTTTTAAATTCTATTTTCTAAATTTTTTTCAATTTTTTTATTTTAATTACTTAAATTTTGTAATTCATCATCTTTTTTCATAAGTTATAATTAATAATTTTTGACTTAATCGTTCAATTTAGATATTTCTGCTTCTTGACTTTAAAGTTGTTTATTAGAAACTAGATTTTAACTTTCAAAGACTTTATTCAATTATTTAATTTTATTCTTTTCTTGAAACAACTTAGTTTTAAGTTCATCTATTTCTTTAAGTAGATCTGCCATATTTTAAGTTTATATTTTTTCAAGATAGTGTTCATGTAATTCTAATTAAGCATGTTGATTTTAAGATTTTTATATAATTTCTAGATGTTTAGATAATTGTTAAATATTTTCATTCTTTTATAGAATCTATTATTTAAGATTTTCAATTTGAGAATTTAATTCTTAAATTTCAATGTCTTTATTTTATTGAAATTATTGAATTTACTATTAATAATTAAAATTAATTTGTTGCAATCGATCTGATTCAAGTAAAGAATTTTTAAAATTAGTTTAAAGTTCTTAGTAATCAAGAGATCTCATATCTAAATCTGTAATATATTATGAATTTTGTTCTTTTAATAATTAATTTTCTTTATGTAATAGTAAGATTTATTCTTCTAATTTGATACTTTTAACTTTATTGTCATCTTTTTTTAATTAATTAATGATATAATTTTTTTCTTCTAATTCTTTGATTAGTTTATTATTTTAAATTTCTAATTCTTTAATAGTAATTTCTTTGTTAACTTTAGGTTAAGTTTTAATCATTTTGGCTCTGACACCAAATCTGAGAGTACTAAGTGTTTCAGATTCATTTGTAATACATGGACTACATGTAATAATAAGTGAAGTCATAGAGTTTTTACTTAATCCATTCCATAACAATTTGGTAAGATTAGATTCTCTATAAGGTACATGCTATTATTTTTCTGACAATCCATTAATAACATTAGACTAGTGAATATAAAATAATAAAGTATTACTAAAGTCAATAAACTTTTATTAATAAATGCTCCTTCTTAAAGAGTATTTCCACTTGTTCCTGCCTTTGTAGCATTTTCACTACCTGCTAAATCAGCCATAACTAATTATCCTGTATACGATGTACCTTCAATTTCATTATTCATAATAACTGTCTAATAGAATTTTGAATATCTATACCATTTAAAATAATAGATGAGATCTAGAAGACATATCATTAAGATTTGTATAACCAACTTATCTATTTACTAAACTTTTTTGTAGTGTATTATAAATTTCATCTTTATCACTCACCCATAATTATGTAACTTATTAAATGTAAAATCCTTAATTAGCCATTTCTCTTATTTTTAAATCTTGTTTATTTATATCCAAAAGATCTTTAACTTTTTCTTTATATACTTCAACAATTGATATTTTTATTCTAAATTCAGATTCTGTTGGAGAACTGTCTATAGCCTCAAATAAATCACTAATTGTTCTTCGAATTATTCCTGGTTATTATTGATCACCAATCATTGTGTAAGTTTTACCAGATGATGTTTATCCATACATTAACAATGTAGCATTGAATCCCTACAAAATTTAATCTATTATTGGTTTTCCTATTTCCTCATAAACATCTGATTAATTTGCATTTATATCTAGAATTTTATCAAATGTAAATTTTTATTCACCTAATTATAAAGTCTAATCTTTAATGTTGTAAGCAATCAAAGAAGTTTCTCTTTAATTTAATGGTCTGATTCTACAAAACACTTTTATATTACTCATTATTTAGATTAGTATGAATTTTAATTAATTATTATAATTACATAAAATATTATATAATTGTATATAATAATAATGTATATTATATATAATAATGAAGAAAGGATAAATTAACAAAAAAGATTAATAATTGAACTATTTCATTATAATTTATTATATTTATCATTACCATTTAAAATATTCATGGATGATTTTCTTTGTAGATTCATCATTCTCTTAATGATAAGGGTACTTAAGTTTAATAAGATTGTCTAAGGATTGTTATTTATTAAATTAAGTTTTGGATTTCGAATTTTCACTCTCTAAGGTTTTTTGATTAACTTAAATTTTTTAATCTGAAGCAATTAAATTTTATGAAACTTCTTATATTTTTGATAATTATGATTGCATATAATCAGCAGTAGTTGCTTATTCAGTTTCAAATTTAGTTTATGTAGTTTTTAAAGGTGTTTAATTACAATTCTAAGTTTATGCCTTAGTAGAAGTAGTCATAGAATTGCGAAATATTTTAGTTTTTAATTCAGGTCTTAAATTTTTAAAATCTAAAGATTTAAAACTAAATTAGAATAAAATATAATAATACTTATTACTATGTTAATATGGTACTAAATGATCAATACTTTTTGTATCAATTAAAGCAGATTTATAATGTTTAAGTTTAGCATTCTAAGAGAATTAATCAAAATTAGGTTATTCATTAATTAATTAATCAGCTTTAAATGTTCTTATAGATCTTGAAATGTGTAGAGTTGTACCAATTTAATCTTATTTTACAGTAGGTATATACTCTGTTCTTTAATGCTATTAAATTAATATAAATATAATATTACTTCCTACTCTTTATATCTTTTTCTTTAAGGATCTCCTAATACTTCAAATCCTTCCACATACACATTACTTTAATTTTTGTAACTTAGAGGGAATTAATCCCATGAACTTGGATCAAAATTCTTTTTATTATAAATATTAAATGTATTGTTATCCATCCATTTAAATTTATCATTTTACTTCCATGAAGGATTAGTTAACATCATCAAGTCTTTTTTCTGTATATGAAACATATTACCACATAATCAATCTTTTAGTTACTACTCTCCACAATACGTTTTACTCTTTCTGTTTCTACTCTTTCTCCCTTTCCAAATCTTATTGGTCTTCCTTATTAACTATGATCATCCACTTTTAACCATTTATAATGGTTTTTATGTGGTTCATCCTTATTAAATTCACCAGGTCTTAAATGTCCTTATTTAAAATCTAACATTGTTTATCTAGCTCTCTCTTTCCCTGATAATTAACTAATATATAAATTATTATGTACCTTCTCAAAATTATATTTCCATCTAACTCCTTATCTTTATAACGATCTCTAAATGAATGTTTTGTAATTGGTAGTATTGGATAACTCCCATCTTTCAAGGTTTCTCTTAATTTATTAAGTTTATTTTCTTCAAACACTTCAACTCGATTTTCTTATCTTGCTTTGAATTAAACTGACTTAATTTTTCTAATTTATTCTAATTTTTTTTCTTTCTCTTCTCTATATAATCTTTATAATCTTATACTTGTTTAATTATTATTCTTTTATTCTATCTAATTGTTTTTACTTAAATATGTTATTCAAGGACATTTTAATTTATTATTTAATAATTAATATTTCTTATAATGTCTGATGATAAATTACCATTTCAATTAGATGTCATCCAATATGATTGGTTAATCTTAGGCACTGGATATGAAGAAACCCTTTATAGTGCACATTTAAGCAAAGTAGCAAAGTCAACTGTAATCCATATATATTCACTCATAAGAATCTAGTCCTTGATTTTGGAAATACTTACTCCAGTAATATACGTACAATGAATTTTAGAGAATTCTAAAAATTAGATTCAGAATTACCAACCAATTAATATTTTCCATATCTCCATAAAAGACCTGTTTTTACTATTTTAGAGTTAGATGATAATCAAAAATAAATTAATAATTACTTTGCTAATCAAATTAACTCTGGATAAGAATTCAAACACTTTAATATTGATATGCAACCTAAATTACTTTTTAGTAATAGTCCTACTGTTTCTATTATGCAATAAGCTAATTTAGATTAATATATGGATTTTAAGGCTGTTGAAAATCAATTCTTCTTTGATTCAGCTACCAAAACATTTAAATTGACACCAACTTCTAAAAGTGATATATTCAAATGTTAGTTTCTTACTTTAAGTGAAAAAAAACAATTTTTCTAAGTATTCTTATCTATTCATAATCATTTAGCTTTTGCATACTCTTGTTAAAATCTTTCATAAAATCATCAATTATTAAGTAGATTAAAATTCTACATAAGAATTTGATTAAAATACTACTTAATTAGATGAAGATACATATTAAAAGTATTTATAATATAAGGATCAATAAGCTGTTTTATTTCTCAATGAAATTACATCAAAATAACTTAATAAGGATAAGGTATATGCTATATTATTTTATTCTATATGTTTTATTACTTAAAGTTTTAATAATAATGGCAATAAAATTACAACGGAGGATTTCATTAATAAATTTGGTAAATGTATAAAATCAATGGGGATTCATAGTAAATCTCCTTTTTTATATACAAATTATGGAACTGGAGATATTCCATAAGGATTTTGTAGAATATCAGCAGTTCATGGATCAGTATTTATTACTTAAAGTTCAATAAGAATATATAAGATAGAGAAAGAAGATAATGAATATTTAATAACATCAAATTTACATGAGAATTAGATAAGAATAAAATAAGGGATAATAATGAATAAATAGATTTATGATTCTTATATTAAATTGAATTAGTCAATACCTGAATAGGAAATAAAATTAGAATAAAATTATATATTAATGAGATTGATTTTAGTAACAGCAAAAGATTAAAAAGTATTATGCGAGGAGATTAGAGAATTGATAGTTGATAAATTGATTGAGGATTAGAATACTGAACATTAATAGAATCCAAGTATATATGTAATACCATGTAAACAATTCAGTAGCAATCCTATATATATCTTTAGAACAGATAGCAATAGTAATAGTACTTCTAAGGATTATGAATTATTTTATGTTTGGACATTATTAGAGAAATAAGAGGAGAAAGAATTGAAGGAGACTTTAAAATAAATAATTATGGATATAGATTGTAAATACAATGAAGGAGAAGAGAAAAGCATCAATTATATTTGTTATGAGAAAGTGTTGCTGTAAGAGATTAGCAAAAGTGAATATAAATTTTAACCAAATGTAGATGAAAATATGTAATGATTATAGAATTATTTTAAGTTATGTAACTACTGAAGATAATGATGATTTGGATTTTGATGCTTAAACAAAAGAATTTATTAAGAATGTTTAGAAAGTGAATGTTAATGTTGAAGAAAATTACTATATGGTTGAAAAGATAACTAAAGAATAATAACAAATAGAGTAAGAAATGGACAATCAATAGTATCTATTGAATTAATTAATGAATATAAAACATAAAGAATGATTATTATTATTAATAATATGATTAATTCTCCAGTGAGGACTTCAGAATTCTCATTCATTGGAGTTCGTAAACATTTTTGGAAGGAAGTGTTTTATAACATATAATTATTTGAAGACACTATAGAAATGACTGAAATTGTAAAATTATTTTATATTCAAGAAATCTAAATCACCTAAATACATTTTGCCTCTTAGATTATCAACAGTAATAGAGATAACAGGATAGGTTAGTAAAAATAATAGGAATTATAGTGGATTCTAATTCAAATACAAAGACTCAACTAAATTAATGAATTGTAGATCTTAAGATATTGCTATGTAACTAATTTTATTATTATTATTAGACTTATTGATATGGTAAGTAATTAAATTACTTTTTTAAATATCACAATGTTTTATTAAGCTATTGAGATTATTGGAAGAGGTAGCTCATCAAGTGTTTCTGTTTTAATTGATACTTTTTCTTAAGAATAATATGCTGTCAAAAGTATAGGTAAAGAATATCTCTTAAAAAATGATAAACTTAAGGTATAATATATACATATCTATTTATTGAATAGATATTATTTGAAAATGAAGTTAAGATTTTGTAAGAATTAACTAAATACAATTAAAATAATTATTTTGTTCATTTATATAAAGTATTTGAAAGCAAAACATCTTATTATTTAATCTTAAATCTTATGAAAGGTAAATCATTAACTGCATTCTATCATAAAATCAAAGTAAGTAATAATGTTAAATTATTTGAAATTAGAAATAATCAGATACCAAATTACTATCTTCAGAAATTATCAAAACTATAATGAAGAGACTTCTTTCTGGTGTCTCTATTTTACATAGTCATTAAGTATATAAATTATTATTTTAATTTAGATAATCCATAGAGATTTAAAACCAGATAATCTTTTGTTTCTTGAACCAAATAATGTAGAATCTTTAGCTATAGCTGATTTTGGATTAGCAACTTATAGTAATGTAGAAAAGTAATAATATTCTCTTATTGTATTTAGATATTCATATCCTATTTGTGGTACTCAAGGTTACATGGCACCAGAAATTACTCATTATAAAGATGGATAAATCAAATATGATTAATAAATTGATATCTATAGCATTGGTGTTATATTTAATTGGCTGTATTTTTATATTAATCTTTAGACTTACTGGTGATATTGATAAACATAATCCTAAATTATAAAAACTAGATTCCATTACTTTTAATTTATTGAATAATCTTCTTAGAACTAATCCAAAAGAAAGATTATCTGCATAAGCAGCATTAGATCATCCTTATTTTTAAAATGATGATACTACTAAAAAAACCTTTTAATCTTAATATGGATATGTAATTCTATTTTATTATTATAGGAAAATGTTGATGGTGACACTATTGTACAACATAAAGACTTAAAGAATTATTCTTTGCCTCTCCTCAAAAAACCCTAACGACAAACTTGATATATATATACTCTTCAATCTCTTTATTATTATTATTATTATTATTATCATCCAATTAAGTATTATTATATTTATAATTATTCTAAATATAAATAAATTATTAATATTGTAAAAATATCTCTATTCTTAAATAAATTAATCTAACTAGAAGGAAATAGATACGAATTAAAAAGAAACACTCATATCTAATTATCACAAATTTAATACAATTTATCAGAATAGAAAATACAAATAATGTACCAGTAAAAAGATAATAAATTAATGAAAAGACTTCTTTTGAATTAATCATAACTATGTTAATTATAAATCACAATTCAGCCTTTTTTTCATCACGTCTTTTATTTTGTCGACCCACAATTATGCTGGATGTTCACATTCCTTATATAAATATATTATTTGACTTTAAAATAGTATTTCTTTTTAGTAGGAACATCTATATTAAACTATCCTTTTAATAATTCTATTGTTACAGATTTATCTAATATGATTTAACCCTTTTTAAAAGTTATTATAAATTATATTTATACCTTTTTTAATCCTGTATTAGGATCAAAATATTCTAATTTAGGAATTTCAAAATCGTACAAAATCATGTTTCTTAATTTATAAATCATCCAACCTACATTTATAATCACCTCAAACCTGTCTTTTTATTAACTAATCCAGTTATGACTACTTCTGGTTTTAATGTGGCACTTTATTTTTTTTTTGTGAACTCTTAAGTTGTTATCTTTTTTAGATGTATTTAAACATCTTCTGGTCCTTTTTAATTCCACAACTACTACCAATTAATATCTTTAAAAAATGGATGACTTTTTAATTCTCTATAAGTATTTTTAGAATCTATTTAAACATAAATATATATTTTACTGGGTAATCCTCCACCTAAACGACTTAATGGATCTCTGACTAATAATTTACTTATTAAATCCATTCCATCTTATGGAATCTTATTATTTTTAGAATATTAGCATGATCTAACCTTTTAAAATACTAAATATTCTGTTTAATCACAAAATGGAGTTGTTCCTGTAAACATTTTATATATTATGCATCCTAAAGCCCATAAATCTGCTTAAGGACCACAAATATCATCTTCTAAAAGTTCTGGTGATACATATTCTGCTGTCCCTACAAATGTTGCTTTATGCTTCTATTAATATTAATCTATTTCATCTAAAAATCTTTCATCTTATTTGCTAATCTCTCTTAATTCATTCAATTTATCCCGAACATTCTCTGGTAAATTATGTTCATCAAAAAAACTAGCTGTTCCAAAATCAATCATTTTTATATGCAAATTATTTGCTACCATTATATTTTCTGGCTTTAACAACATCATTAATTTATTACTTTCACATCTCTATGTGCAATCCCATTTGAATGCAATTATTCGAGTATTGTCACAATCTCTGCTGTATAAAATACTATTGTATGTTAAGACATGTTTCCTATAATCATTATATCTCATTACTATTGATTTTTAGGAAATTAGCAAAATCTCCACCTTCCATAAACTCTAAAACTAAATATATTTATGCTGAACTCTAGAAACTAGCTATCATATTTATTAAACCAGGATGTTTAACTCTCGATAACACTTCTTTCTCAATAAAAACTTAGTATTGCTTTTTTTCCTATTCTATTGTTACATTATTAACCTTAATTAACAACCTTTTCTCCATTGCTTTTATTGCTACTAATTATCCATTAGCTTTGCATTTTGCTAACATTACATCACCATAAGAACCAGATCCTAGTTTCTCTAAAATTTCATAATCATTTAATGTATTCATTTTTTATAAATAAAATTAATTAACATGCATTACTATTTTCATCTCAATCAATAACTACTTTAAACTCTTTAATTTTTCATTCTAAATATATTCTTAAAGCTTTTGCATTAAATAATACTCCTATATTTGCAAACTAGTTTTTTTATTTAAATTAAATTATTCTTCCCCTTTTAAGAAACCTCGTAAATCATGCAGCCTAATTAATTCTTGATAAAGTTCTTTTTTTTATTCAAGTAAATTAAAAATTATCTTAATATGTAAATACAGTCTATGATTTTGATTTTTCAAACTCATTCATCTTTATAAAGAATTTAATACAGATCAAAATTTTCAATTTTCAGACCTTTTGATGTTTCAATAAGTTTTATTGATTAAAATAGTCACAGTAAGGTAATATCCTGCAGTGCATTTAAAAATTTAATTTCAATAAAATTGATAAATCTATTCTTAAAGTACTCATTTTAAATCCTTAAAATTATTTCTATTTTTCCAACAATTTATAATGAGGGAATAGTCGCTTACTTTAACTTACGATTTTCAAATTTGTTGAAAAAATATTAAATTAGATTTTGTTGCGAAGTTTGTCATTTTGTTGATCAAATTTTTTTTAAATCAATATTATTTGTTAAGTTTAATAAGTTAATTAAAAGAATAACAAATTGTAATCATATAATGATAAAAAATTTATTTGTTTTATAAAAATAATAATCAAAATATATTATATTAAAAAAATAATTTTTCATCTTAAAACACCAATAAATTTATCAAAAACCTTAAGTTTAAATTTTGAACTTAGAATTTTATAATTAATATCGCTTTAAATTTGGAATTTAAATTCAATATTTATATTTAACAAAAAAATATAATTTTTATTGTTGTTGAAAAGGATTTTTCAAATCCAGATTCCAGATTATATACTTAATTAAAAATTATAAATTGATTAATGTAAGGATTATTATTTTTATATTTAAATGATTTAAAAACAGAATTATTGTTAATAAAGCCTTAAAATTTTAAATAAAATTTATAAATTCCATGAAATAATTCTAATCTTTTAGTTTTATTAAAATCAATTTAAAAATTTTAATTATATATTTAATATAACATTAAAAAGATATTTTGAATATTACATTGAATGAGAAGATTATAAGATTTAATTTTTTTACATTGAATTACAAAAAATTTTTATTATATATATTATTACATAAGGAAAAATAGATATTAAATGATTGAATTAGAATAAAATCCTAAGAATTTGAAAGTTTGAAAAATTGCTCTAAAATTGATTAGTTGTGAGATGTTTAATTATAAAATCATAAAATTTTGAAATAAAAATTTTGGGATATTGTTTTTAAATACTTTGTTTTAACGTTTAGAATCTTATTTCATGAGTTTTTAATTATAACTAAATCACAATAAAGCTTTAGAAAATTTAGCGATTTCGAATTTTTTGATTTAATGTTTGATGATTGTAAGATGAATTATAGAGAATAGCGAATAAAAAAGATTAAATAAAATCTAAACTGACTGGAGAGTAATTTTTAGAGTGACAGATTTAGAATAAAATATTATCATATCATTAGATGTTCAATATTTAAGTATAAGTTAAAATATTCTTGAATTGTTTGAAGGGAATACGGTATTAATTAAATAGATTGAATTTTGATTAGATAAATAAATGGAGAAAGATAATAGAGAGATTAAGATTATGTAAGATAAGAAAATATTAAAGGATTCTTAAGTAAATAGAATAATGATGTTTATTTAAAAATTGTAAAGGTATGATATAGATTAAAGTGAATATTAAGATATAGATTTGTAATGTTTAGAGTTGTTAATGTGGGAATATTAAGATTTCAGATGATAGTAAAAAATAATAATAGTGGAATAATATTAAATAATATAAATGGACAATATATATAAGTTTAAGGCAAGTAGTTCAGTGGGTCATTTAAAGAGTTTGAATAATGACAAACAATTCTATTCTGAGNTTTTATTAAAATCAATTTAAAAATTTTAATTATATATTTAATATAACATTAAAAAGATATTTTGAATATTACATTGAATGAGAAGATTATAAGATTTAATTTTTTTACATTGAATTACAAAAAATTTTTATTATATATATTATTACATAAGGAAAAATAGATATTAAATGATTGAATTAGAATAAAATCCTAAGAATTTGAAAGTTTGAAAAATTGCTCTAAAATTGATTAGTTGTGAGATGTTTAATTATAAAATCATAAAATTTTGAAATAAAAATTTTGGGATATTGTTTTTAAATACTTTGTTTTAACGTTTAGAATCTTATTTCATGAGTTTTTAATTATAACTAAATCACAATAAAGCTTTAGAAAATTTAGCGATTTCGAATTTTTTGATTTAATGTTTGATGATTGTAAGATGAATTATAGAGAATAGCGAATAAAAAAGATTAAATAAAATCTAAACTGACTGGAGAGTAATTTTTAGAGTGACAGATTTAGAATAAAATATTATCATATCATTAGATGTTCAATATTTAAGTATAAGTTAAAATATTCTTGAATTGTTTGAAGGGAATACGGTATTAATTAAATAGATTGAATTTTGATTAGATAAATAAATGGAGAAAGATAATAGAGAGATTAAGATTATGTAAGATAAGAAAATATTAAAGGATTCTTAAGTAAATAGAATAATGATGTTTATTTAAAAATTGTAAAGGTATGATATAGATTAAAGTGAATATTAAGATATAGATTTGTAATGTTTAGAGTTGTTAATGTGGGAATATTAAGATTTCAGATGATAGTAAAAAATAATAATAGTGGAATAATATTAAATAATATAAATGGACAATATATATAAGTTTAAGGCAAGTAGTTCAGTGGGTCATTTAAAGAGTTTGAATAATGACAAACAATTCTATTCTGAGGAGGAAAGCAGTAAGAAAGAAGAGGAAGAAAAGCAATTAAAGAAATAAAGCAAGCCTCCTAGTAAGATGTCTCAATTCAGTAAGAATGCAAGTGGATATTAAACTGATGACAGTGATAAAGAGACTCCAAAGAATAATAAGGTTGGACCTTCAAGTAATAAATAATAGAATTAGTATAGGTTAGAAGGTATCAAAATTTCGAAATTTGGTAAATGCTAAAAAGATTGAAGGTGATAATGATGATCCTAATTTTGATGATGAGGATGATAAACCAACTACTATATAATAATAGATTTAACATGTATAATAGTATAATGAAGATTAATATGATGTGGAACAGTAAGCTAGTAAAATGCAGTAGAAGTATGCAAAAGTTGAAGCAGTCAAATAAACTAAAATGAAGTATAAGACATTATAATCTATAGACATTCTAATACTTAATAAAGTATGGATGTTAATTCAGATGTTGAATAAATGAAGAATAAACAAAATTAAGAAGGCAAACTTAAAAATCATCCTTTCAGACATCTTATCTATGGACCAAGTATTGGAGAAAATTCATTTAATAAATTCTTATAATTAACTTAAAGAGGTTTAGTTTATGCTAAAAAATGTTTAAAAGGACCTTCAGATAAATTTATTAAATCAAAAATGGTTTAATTATAGGAATGTCCTATTGTTAAACCGAAGACTCTTTTACTTGATTTAGATGAAACTTTGATTCATAGTTGCTCATTAAGAGAAAATCCTTAAGTTACTGTTACAGCATTTGGAGATTATGGAGAAGAAGCTAAGGTATCATTTTATCAATTCATTCTAGATTCATTTTAACATTAGACCATTTTGTACATGGTTTTTATAATAAATGAATTAGTTATATACAATTTATGTATTTACAGCTTCATCATCTGCTTATGCTAATGCCATAGTCAATTACTTAGATCCTAAAAGATAATGGATTATGGGTATCATGTCTAGAGGAAATTGTATGGAAACTAAAAATGGATTCTTTATTAAAGATCTTAGAATTGTAGGCAATAAATTATTAAAAGATATGGTTATTGTAGATAATCTTGCGCACTCTTTTGGATTTCAAATTGAAAATGGAATACCTATCTTAGAATGGCATAATGATTAAAATGATTAAGAACTCAAATATATGGCTACTTATTTGATGGAAGCTGCTGAATAAGAAGATATTAGAGTATTTAATACACAAAGATTAAAATTAGATCAACTTATAGAATATAATTTAGATTGATACATTATTCATTTATTTATTGATTTATATTCACAATATATAATCAACAAATATTAATTCCAATTCATTTTCTATTTAATTTCTTTTTCGATAATCTTTACTTCATTTCAACGTTATCTACTAATATTTAGAATCATTTTTACAATTCAATTTCGAATGGAAAAGTAAGTATATTAAGTGTTTTTCAAAATTTATAATAAGTTTCATTAGATCATGAATAAATAATAACAAAAATATTAACTTAAATGTTTGAAGAATTATTTTTAACTAAGCAGAATGATCTATAAGAAATTAATATTTAGAATTCAAAATTTACGTTTACATTTTATTATATCATTCTTTCCAAATAACAAATAATCTTCATCATTCTTTAATAATCTTACCGGAATATCATTTCCAAACTAATCCAATCTAATTATAAATTAAAAAAATACTATTAAATTAATGGTTTATCATCAGGCTTTAAAAAATTAAACAAATAAATTTAATTAGCATCATTCGGATACAAAATAAAATTAGGAATGCCTTTTTCATCATAAATTACTATTGGTTTTATGAAGAATCTATTTTGATATTGAATCTTATATTAAGCTACTAAATTGCATTCTACCCAATCCCATAATCCCAATGGTTATTCTAAAGTGGATACTATCAAATGCTTTGAATCTCTAATAAATTGACTTGAAGTTGTATGAGTCTTCTTGCTTCCACATATTGTAACTAAAGAATCTGTTCCATAAGAATCAAATACTCTTGCACACTAATAATATATTTTAGATTTTACACATTATCTAAACCGGTTGTTGTTATATATCTTCCTGTTTCATTATATTTGCATTGTGTTATTTACATTGAATGTGCCAATATACAATTAAATGGTAATTTCTAACGTATATCCCAAAATAACAATGTTTTTTCATTTGCAACACAGACTTCATTCCAAATATTGCTATCTCCACAATAACTAAATTCAGTATTTATTTAATGACTAATAATTTATTTTTCTAAATCTAATATTTATATTGATTATCCAAATAGATAAAGTTAATTTTTATTTAGGCTATCAGGATGACTAAAAGTACTGCTATACAATAATTTTTCACTCTCAATTTCAAAATTAGTATTTGTCTTATAATTATAAATAGCTATTTTATTATTTTTATATATTGAAGCTATAATCTAATTATTGCAACATTAAACATCCAAGCATACACTTTCTTATTTTGGAATTTACAAATTCTAAAAACTTCCAAAAATTTAGTCATTAGTTTCTTATTACATTTTCCCGCTTCTTGTTGTACAATTTATTTAAAATATTTATGACTTCATTTAATATAATTCAATATCATTTGGTTATCAAGTATATAATGAAAAAAAAAATAAAATGTTTGAACACATTGGGATAGTCAAGAATAATGTCTTGCCTAAACGGAGGTGTTCAATTAATATTGGTTAGTTTTTTAACATCATTTTAGAATGTGATCTAAAATCATGTGCTTTCGCTAACCATAAAATAAATTAAATTAAATTAAATTATGTTTTAATAATGATATTATTTTGATTATTTTAAATGAAAATATCTGGATTTATAAGAATATAAAAGACAGAAATAATATTATGGCTGTAAACACTTAGATTCATAAATCCTTAATATAATCTAATTTCGCCTACCAATACAATTTTAACAAATGCCAGATTTTATCAAGTTAAAAATTAAATTATAATTAGCTAATAAAACCTCCACAAATTTGTGGATTTAAAAGCTTAACATCCAATTTTTTTATATAATGTTTAGATATGTCTCAAAATATATTTATATCACTTTTATTTAAACTTTATAAAACTCTATAATATGTTCTTTTTTATTGTAAGCACATCTCGAATATAAACAAGCACATTAAAAAGCCTAAATTTTATTCTGCAAAATATACTAAGATTGATTTATAATTAACTTTCTATGAAATAACAATTTTGTATCTGAAAAACCTTTAATTTGGATCTCAAAATCTTAAACACTAAAATTACATAGGTAGAAGAAGCAAATTAATTTTACACTTAATATGCAATAATATTTTTCATTTAAAATTCAAAATTAAGAAAATCATGACATAGTGAATTTTAACAAATTATTGTTCAAACAGAAAGATAAAAGAAAAGTGATATAAATTTTTGATTAAAATCTTTAAATAATCAATAAATTATTTGCCTGTAAAAAATATGTACTACATTCATTATTTAATCTATTAATTTTCCTAATTTATTTTCCATATTTTTATACTGTCAACTTTTATTATCTTATATTGTTAATCTTTATTCTTTATAACATCATTTTAGAATGATCAAAATAACTATAAAATAGATAACAAACTAAATGATTTTATTTGGATATTCTATTTTATTATAGAATGATTAATAGATTAGCTCATTATTAAGATACTGTAGAAAGTTATTAGAAGTGATTTGAAAAAAATATTGTGATATACATTAATCATTTCAAATGTTATTGAGGGAGGAAAATTAATATTTAATTTATCATGATCTACTAATAGAGGGTAATTTATGGTAATGATATTAATATATTAATGATTTATGATCACAAAACAATCAATGATTGAAAAATCAATTAAATTAAAATATTCATCAAATATATAAATATTCCTGAACATTATATTACTTTTGAGATTCCTAATTATTGTAGATGTAGTTATTTTTTATGTCATAGTTTTTATTGTATTTATTTTACGATACTTGAACTTATTAAATGTTACTTGATTTCTTTTCTTAATGTATAAATAAATTCATTACACGATTATATAAATATTAATTCTTTTTCATATAATGATGATTTTTAATATTTGAAGAAACCTATTATATTCTAAGATTTATTAATTCTTATATGAAATTAAAAAAATAAATGTTTAAATTAATTTGTTTATTTATATGTTTTATTATTATAATTTTAAGAGAAATGAAATAATCAATTAATGTTTATAGTTGAGATAGTTTATGAAAGAAGTAAGTCTTCTTCTAATTTGTAATAAATTAATTTTAAATATTTATTTTTAACCATACAAATTTATTTATTAGTGAGATATATTTATATAGTTATGAAATATGAATAAATAGATCTAACAAAGTTAGTATATGAATAAGTTTATTAATTATAATAAAATAAATTTTACATATATAAATGTTAAGATTATTATAATCAAAATTAAATCTAAGTTGAGGAAGGAACACTATTGGATAATTTTTGTTAAAATTTATATAATTTTCTAATTTGGTATCCCTTATAACATAAACAACCATGAATAATACCAATAGCCAACAAGAATGTTATATAGATAATAGAGCTGAAATTAAATATTTGAATACAAGGTGTCTTTGATTTATTTCTTAATTTAACAGTCATCTTGTTCATTCTTCCATTGTGATTTCTCACAAATTTTGGAATACATAGGAGTGCCTAAAGCTATAATGGTAGCCACTAAATCTAAAAGAAATATTAGACAATTGCCAAATATCCAGATAGTCAGATTAAAAATAGGTCTTTTAGTTATGCAGAGACAATATAGAATCAAATTCAAGATATAAAAAGCAGAACTAAAATAAAATAAAACTAATACCTACAAGCCCATAGAATTGCTGATATAAAACAACCATCATAAATAAATTATGGTATAATCCTTCCTAAGATGAATCCTAAAAGTAACATACTGGCAAAACTGTATAAGATTTTCAAGCTATCACATTATGGTATAATTTACGATCTTAATTCTTTTTTACATTTAGTGCAAACATATATGGGTTGGCCAGTAGGTATTTCATGTGGAAGATCATTATTTTCTATTAAAATAGCCGATATTTTAGGCATGGCTACTTCTTTCAAGTTTCTTTGACAAGTTTCTTCACTCTTTTAACTATCCAATGGATCTTTGATTTAAAAATCATTAAATATTACAATGAATTGCTTCTTGCTCTATGCTTTAAGTTTTTCTATTATTTAGTGTTTCCATCTTGAATATGAGAATGAAATTGTTTATTATAATTACGCAAAAGTATAAATATAATTTTATTGTTGTGATGCATGATATTTTAAATAACAGTTAATCAAAATTTTATATTAAATATATTACTAACTTATATATATATGTTTAATTGATTCTTCTAGACCAATATTTTCTGATTATATGAATCTTTTTCTAATCTTTTACTCAATATTATATTATATAATAATATCCAGAATTTATAATTCAGATTTAATTTATATAAAGTTTATTTTTTAATAATACATTATATTATCACTTATTTTTTAGTTGTTAAAGAATTAGTTTTTTCTAATATAACACTTAACTTTGTTTTGCTAATAGATCTTATGCCTTTTACCAAACTCTTTCCTCTTCTTCTTTTTTTTATCTATTACTTTATTTCTCTTTTTCATGTCCTCTTGCACTATTTATTCTATCTTATCTATATTTTTAAGCATTATCTTTTTCATTTTTAAATCCAATTTCTAAATACTTAAGATTTCTGAACGCTATTTTATTATTTAACTTTAATTCTTTCTCATATCTTATTATTCACACTTTTGTTATTATTTCATCATAACAAAACTAAAAGCTTTCTATTATTGTCTTTCTCTAAATTCTTAAGCCTTTTTCTATTTTTCATGCTCTTTTATTGCTTAATTTTATTTATATTATTCCTCATTTTCTCTTAATATCTCTTAGTTTTCTTTCTAAATTACTTATTTTTAAAGCTATTTTTCATTTCTTTTATCTTTCCATAATTATTCATTCTCCAGTCTTTTTATCTTTTTTATTTCATTCTCTTGAATTTATAAATTTAATTACCAAGCATTAAAATCAATACCAAATTTGTCAAGCATCTCTTAATTCTATATTTATATAATATCTTCTTTATTTTTCTTTGATGCATACCTTGTTCCAATCTATTTCCATTAATCTTCATATTTTTTATTGTCATTCAATTATAAAATATGATTATTCTCAATTCTTAAATTTTCCATGAATTCAAAACATTATTACATTACATAACATTATCTAATTATTAAATACAATTCTTAATTTTAGATAATAGTTACAGCTTCTTATTGAGACATTAAACTTTATAAAATTTCAAGAGATTCTTGAAATAAACACAAATCCTTTTCTTAGATTTATCTCTATAACAATAATTTAGGAAATTATTTTATAGTTTAGACTGTTTAAGATGCATTCTAAAATATTTTCGAAATTAATTTTAAATTTATTAAAGGTATTTTTGAATTACATCTTGGAAAATCGTTATCTACAATAGCGATAGCAATAATAATGGGTGCAAATATTGCATTTAAGTATACAGATTCATTTTATTGTTATAGATTTAATTATTAAATAAATTGAGTTGTTAAATATTCAGTCATTTGAAAATACATTTTTTAGAGAATTGAATTGTTATCTTACTTTAATTAAGGATTAGGTTATTTTTTCATTAAGAGATAGCTAAATTCTTTATATTAATCATTAATTTTTATAATTGATTATTTTGATAACCAACCCTTACTTTAAACTTCTTTAGGTAAAGAAATTGTAAATTCAAATATTTCATTCATTTTGGATTACAATTATTACATAACATACTAGAATATATATATACTTACTGATTATGTTTTTCAATCCTTTAATTCATCATGAATTGGTTTAGATCTAAAGCATCTCTGATTTCTTCCATCATTTAAGTTCGAAATGGAGAAAAGGTTGGATGAGTTTGTTTTCTTTATTTTGTTTCAATAGTTTTAAATTAAAAAGAGAATTAAGATTGAGGTTATGATTAACAAGATTATTATTATTATTATTAGTATTTTCTTCTATCTTCTTTTCAACAGTAATTTCTTAATATTATAAAGATATAGTATATTCTTATTATGGTAATAAATCATCATTTAAATATTGCATTTCCTTTAAAACTTAAGGAGTGAATAAACTACCTAATAAAGAAACTTATTAAATTTATGGTTATTTTTTATATTATTAAGCAAGTCTTTATGAAGTATAATAGGTTATTATGAAATAGTTTATTAGGAGTATTTTAAGTTTCTGAGCTGTAAAAATAATTTGATTTTAAGTAGTTTAAATATTATTGTTAGGATTAGTTAATTCAAATGTATTAAGTAGATCTTATTGTAATGGAGATTGAAATAAGAGAGGTTTATCCAAACTTGATTTGGTTATTCTTAATTTAATAGAATTAGATTTATTCTTAAAGGTATTATTAGAAAGTGAGTGAATCTAAGATAATGATATATGAATAAGATTACCATAACTTCCAAATTAAGGGATATCGTATTAATCATAATCTCTTTATTGAGTATCTTGAGGTATTTAATAGAATTAATTTTGATTATATTAATTATATCTAATTAATAATCTTCTTCATCTTAATTAAATTACTTTGAAAAATCTTAAATATCTTGATAATCAGATTTGTAATCAGATTATTAAATAGATTTTGAGTATGATAATTTTAATTATTTTTTAAGAGTAGAGAATTAATATTATTATTTAAAGGTTGTGTTGGTTTAGGATATTTGTATGTTTTGGATGATTTTGATAAGAATTGAATTAATTATTGTAATTTTAATCCTTTCATAGGATCAAAGATAAATGAATCACGAGTATCTGGATTGATATCTTGATCATCATCTTCTTCAACAATTGTACTACAACGAAGTTAATTATCAAAATATTGTAATAATTGATGATCTATTTGTAATGCAATTTATAAATTTTATTAAAATTTGATTTGATTATAATTTTCTAAATAGATTATTGCTTATGTATTTAATATTATTCTATGGAGATGATGAGATGATGGATTACCATGAAAAGGATTGTATACATAAGAATGAATATAATTGATTAATGCAATATAAGTATTAGATTTATTGGTTTAATAATCTCTTAATTATTATTCACATTCATAAGCTAGGAATGCAAAACGTTAATGTTATGATCGATCGTCTAAATATGATTAATAATAAGTATACAATTTTGTTCTAACTGCTTTAATTATAAATAAAGTTGTAATTATTGCATAAAAATTAATGTTATTTATCATGTGATAATTTAATTTGTATGATAATGAATAAAAATAAATAGTTAATAACATATTTTAATAAATCGAGTATAAGAAAAAGAGCGAAATCTTCATTGAATCAGGTAGTATCAGTGAAGTAATAGAATGTGGAATAATCTCATAACAATTCAATGGATAGTTTGAATACTCGCGTTATGGAAGTGTTTGAATAACAATAGAAGGATGATTAGGTCCAGATACAAAGATTATTAATAAAAAAGCAACTCTTAGAGATTCGATTACGTCATGAGAATGAAAAATATGATGAAACTCTATAAAATTATTAATAATTGTTGCAACGATTAGAATCAATGGAACATAGTCAAAAAGAATATATTTAATAAATGAACCAATTAACAGAATGTTTAAAAGAGATAGTATAACAAAATAATGATATGGAGAATGCTTATGAAGAAAAGTGCAAGGAATATGATAATTTGATATAAATAATTAATAAATGAATTAAGTATTATTGGATTCAGAACCTGAAGAATCTATATTAAAATCTGGAGATATTATCTAAGGTAGATTTCGAATAGGAGATATTCTTGGTGAAGGTTCATTTGGATCTGTCTTTAAGATTTAGGACATTAAAAATGGAAATGAATTATTAGCAATTAAAGTAGAATAAGAATTAGAAGAAGAGGAGAGTATGTTGGAAAGAGAAATCAAGATTATGATTGAATTAAAGTACATTATATAAATCTTAAAGTAGGAAGAAACCAGGGTTCCCATAAATATTGTACTATGGATAAGAAAATCATTTTGTTTATTACATCATGAATATGTTAGGACCTAATCTTGAAATCACAAGTAAAAAGTGTGGAGGCTCTTTCTCTCTTATAACCATGTTCAGATTAGCTATTTAGGTATTAATATTATTCTACTGTTTAGTTTAGATGCTTGGCAGAATTGAAACATTGCATTCTATGCGTCTCATTCATAGAGACATCAAACCAGATAACTTTGTCTTAGGTCTAGGATAATAGTAAAACATATTACATCTTATTGATTTTGGATTATCGAAGTTTTATTTGAATTCTAAAGGTCATCATATTAAATAATTAAAGAAAAAAGGATTAATTGGAACTGCTAGATATGCTAGTATTAATGCACATAATGAACAAGAATAAAGTAGAAGAGATGATCTAGAAAGCATTGCTTATATCTTAATCTATCTAGCTACTGGAACATTACCTTGGATCAATCTAAAAATTTAATAAAAAGATCTTAAATATGCTAAAATATTACATCTCAAAAAATCAACACCAATTTCAATTTTATGTTCTAATTTACCTCAATGTTTTATTTCATTTTTAAATGCTGTTCGCAATTTAGAATTTACTGAAACACCTGATTATTCAGCTTATAAAAAATTATTTTAAAATGAATTAGAAAAACATTCAGGTTTACCATATTATGATTGGGAACTAGTTGGTGATAACTCAATAAAAAAGAAAAGCAATACAATGCATATAATGCCAGTAAAATTAAATTAAAATAATTTAAGGAATAATTAAAGTAACATAATAGCCCAAATAATCTACATATCATAAATAATATTGGATCAATAAAAAATAGCATGAATTATGATAAAGATTTAATTATAGAAAGTAGCGATGTAGATAAGAAATTAAACTTATAAATTTCTGGCAAAAAAATAGATAATAAGTAATTTGAAAGGTTTGAATAGATTTTGCAATAGAATCAAAAGAAGTATCATAAGATGAGCAGTTCAAAGAGATAAAACTCTGGAAGATCTAAAACACCTGTTATAGTAGAAGTTGTTGAAGCAGATGTAATTAAAATATGTAAATAATTTAGAAATAGATTTAATAACAATAATATGACTAAGTTTATGATGATTTGTAATTCATTGTTAAATCAGCTATATATTTATAGCCTCCATCAACTACAAATATAAGAAATTCACCTTCCTAAATAAATGCTTATTATATTCCATCTTTAAACACTTCATAAGTGAACAATTATGATTGGAGTGAAGGTGATGAAATAAGTAATGAAGGCACTCCTTTGTGGTGTATGTATGATGAAAAAAAAAGACAAAATTTGATGACTGGAATGTAACCTAAAAAAAAGAATTCTATTAAACACATTAGTGTTAGTGCTCTTTAATATCCTATACAAAATTAAGTAAAAGGAAGTGATGAAGACATATTTGATATTGAATGATCATTAGTCTTGTAAATATATATTTATTTACATTAATGTATTTAGATCTTCCTTTACATATTTATACAATATATTTTAAATATGGAATATCTATAATCATTTTCGGAAAAGAAATCTTAGTAGAAGACTTTATTTATTTCCACTTTCAATTTGTTATTAATTTGAGAGTAATAAGATCATTTATCTAATCTTCAAATTAGTTTCCTTTCTTCTAATATGCCTTAAGTTGAATTGTAAAATAAAGAAAACGAAAACTTTAATTACTTAAATAATATTATCTGATAATAACAACCAGCTTTCGTACAATATATAATTTAACAGGATTATCATTAGAATAAATTGACATTTTTCATTACTCTTTCTCTAATATTATGGGATCTCATCTATTGATTCATTTTTCTTTCATTCTAATTTAACTCATCCTTTTTCCTTCTTTTTGTTTATGTATCAATATATTAATATATAAACACGGATCCATCATGTTATATGAATTTAATTATAAATAAAAATGACAGACCAAATTTAACTATAATCTTTGACATTTTAGAACTCATTTATAACAATAGTATTTTGGTAATCAGGTTCTATTAAGAAAAATTCTACAATTTTGTCTTAAGTTAATATAACAAGTGATTTAAAAAGAGTCAATAATCGAATCTAAATATAGAGACATATAATCAGCCATA